TACTGATGCTCCAGAAATGAAAGATTTAACAAAAGTTAACAAACTGTACAGACTTCGGTTCTGAAGATAAATAGAATCCTCCCCAGTGTCCAAATTGGGTTGTGGGTCATCAGTGTCAAATGGTCAACATGTCTGCACCTCCGGCAGTGATATCCAGCTAGCAACGCTTGGAATTCGGTTGAACTTCTTCGGTAATCCAATATTCATTCTTGTCACCGTATCCCAGAGAAATAAGCTAATCTGACCGTCTAGCAGAGGCCTCAGAAGCTACATCTGACTGATGACACATTGTTGGCAACATGATGGCACCTGTGCTTGGCTTAGCCGCAGTCACCGGCCACTTTTTCAAACTTTTCTCCACTAACCTCCTCTTTTCCACCTTGCTCCTGTCTGCGATCCTCTTCAGTAGTGTCCCTGCTACCATCTCCTATGATCGCCAGATTCTTTTGTCCTTCCGTTCGTTCACGATTGCCCAAGATGCACCGAGGACGTACCATCCTGTTTGTTTACCTGAGTGGCGCACCGGCCCGGAAACAATCGACGATCCAGAGCTGCGCACCTCTAGCGATGTTTGTCCGGTCCCGGGAAAACGTCGGAGGAAAAGAGGTAAACGTGCAGGAATCCAGGTGAGAATAAGACTTCTCTTAAAGCGTGGTTCATCTGGTAAACATCGGCGTGATCTTCTAGCTTCTTGTCCTTTGTTTGGTGACCTGAGCGCCACTGACGCATTCGTGCCAGGCCGCATTGTGGCGCGGTTCATCCGTCCAAGTTTTTAAGGTCGGTTTATGCTCATTCCTCAGTGGTTTCTCCTCCTGTTCCCTCCATAAGTGGTTTTTATAAACACCGTGGATCTAACCCCGCTAATTTACGTCCACTAACTCCAGCTGTTTCTGTAGTTTCTGATTCCTCCACCTCACTCAGCATGGCTCTATTAAATACCCGCTCTGTTAACAATAAGTCCTTCCTGCTCAATGATCTAATTCTCTCTAAAAACCTGGATTTTCTGTTTCTGACTGAAGTTTGGCAGCAAACATCTGATTATTCTGGTCTGATTGAACTTTGCCCGAGTGGTTATTCTTTTCTTAGCCAGCCCCGGGGTTCTGGTCGTGGTGGAGGCCTAGCTGTTGTTTTCAGAGACCATCTTCCATGTAGCTCTACAACCTCTGGTCACTTTGCTTCCTTTGAACTGCAGCTGATTAAAGTTGGGCGTAAGAACCTGTTCTACTGTGCCATGGTTTGTCGTCCACCTGGTCCAAACAGTTCTTTCCTTCAGCAGTTTAGTGACTTTCTATCCTCCACTGTGAAGCTGTCCATACTGGTGATTGTTGGTGACTTTAACATCCACATTGATGATCCCTCCGATCACTTTGCCATGAATTTCTCCAGCCTTATGGACTCCTTCAGCTTTACCCAGCATGTTTCTGGCCCCACACACACCAGGGGGCACACTCTAGACCTTGTTTTTACCCTGAGTCTAAATGCTGACAGTGTTTGTCCTGAGGACGTTTATATTTCAGATCACCATTGCATTTTCTTTAACTTGTCAGTTTCTGCGTCCCCACCTCCTGCTCGCCGTATGGTTAGTTCTCGTTTTCTTAATGAGAGCACAGCTAGCAATGTTTCTGCTGCTTTTGATCCACCCTGTTCTTCTGAAAACGACCCAGATTCCTTGACTTCTCAGTTTAACGAGCACTGCCTCTCCATTCTGGACAACATATGTCCTGTCAGAACCAGATCAGTACCTGCAGTTAACCCTACTCCCTGGTTTAATGACAGCCTTCGCAGCCTAAAGCGCCAAAGCAGAAAAATTGAGCGTTTGTGGAAGAAAACCCATCTCCACGCCCATCTGCTGCACCTGCATCCTTTAACTCTGCAGTCAGAGACGCTAGGGTTTCCTATTTCTCCAACCTGGTGTCCCAGAGCAAAGGGAACCCCAAGGTGCTGTTTAACACCATCAGCAGCATCGTCTCTCCTGCCTCTCCTACAGCCTCCATCCACTCTGTTGCAGACTGTGAGAACTTTCTGTCTTTCTTTGTGGACAAGGTCAATAAGGTTAGATCTAGCATCTCTCCTTCAGCCTTATCGCTGCCTCTCCCGACTCCAACCAGGCCCATCATCCTAGATAGCTTTGCTCCTGTTTCTTTGCCTGAGTTAACCAAACTAGTTAACTCTATGAAGACCTCTGCATGCCCCCTCCACATCTTACCCTCATCTTTGTTTAAAAGTGCTTTTCAGTCCATCGGTCCCAGCGTGCTCTCTATAATAAATGCTTCTCTGGTCTCTGGTCAGGTCCCTGCTTACTTTAAGAATGCTGTAATCCACCCGCTTCTTAAAAAACCGAGTCTCGACCCCTCTCTCCATAGCAGCTTCAGACCCATCTCTAAACTTCCGTTCATCTCCAAGATCTTGGAAAAGGTTGTGGCTAAACAACTCACAGCTGCTCTTGATGAACATAACATCAAGGATAGCTTCCAGTCAGGTTTTCGTAGAGCTCATTCTACTGAAACAGCTCTTCTAAGGGTCTCTAATGACCTTCTGACTCACAGTGATGCAGGGGACGGTTCTGTTCTGGTCCTTCTGGACCTGACTGCAGCCTTTGACACTGTTGACCATCACCTGCTACTGGAGAGGCTGAGAGACTGGGTAGGCCTATCAGGATCTGCTCTGGAGTGGTTCTCCTCTTATCTCTCTGAGCGCTCCTTTACTGTGGCCGTCTCCAAGTTTAGGTCCTCCACCACCTCCCTTACCCATGGTGTCCCACAAGGTTCTGTGCTGGGGCCTCTGCTCTTCCTCCTCTATCTGCTTCCTCTTCAGCACATCCTGAGCTCCTTCAAAGGAATCTCCTACCATCTTTATGCAGATTACATCCAACTGTACATCTCCTTTAAGCCCCATGAGATGTCTAAGCTGCAGCTGTTACACACCTGCTTAGACTCTAGCAAAACCTGGATGGTGGGAGCTTTCTTCAGCTGAATGAAGATAAGACTGAGATCCTCATCTGTGCCCCAGACAAGCTGGTTTCCAAAGTCAGAGACTCTCTTGGTCAGCTTGCTTCTCACACCAAACCTTCCGTCAGGAATCTTGGCGTGACCTTTGACCCAGCTCTCACCCTGGATTCTCATGTCCGTTCTCTTGTTGGCTCTTCCTTCTTCCATCTCAGGAACGTTGCTAAGCTGAGTCCCATTCTGTCCCGCTCTGAACTTGAGACAGTTATCCACACCTTCATCTCCTCACGCTTAGACTACTGTAACTCTTTTTGACGTGTCTGAGCAGAACCTCCCTGAACCGTCTACAGGTGGTTCAGAACGCCTGTGCTCGGCTTCTGACCAAGTCCTCCAAACACACCCACTTCACCCCGCTTCTCCTCCAGCTTCACTGGCTACCAGTCAACTTCAGGGTTCATTTCAAGATTCAACTTCAGGGTTCATTTCAAGATCCTGGTTCTGGTCTATAGGGCCTTACATGGACAAGCACCATCTTACATTGGTGATCTTCTTAGTCCCTACACCCCCAGCAGGTCCCTGAGGTCCAGTGATCAAAGCCTACTGGTTGTGCAGCACCAGGCTAAAGGTCAAAGGTGACAGATCATCTGCTGCTGTGGCCCCCAGACTCTGGACCTCTCTCCCCCTGAGCCTGAGATCAGTGGACTCAGTGGTCTCCTTTAAAAAGCAGCTGAAGACTCACTTGTTCAAGCTGGCTTTTGTATGACCTTCTTCACCTCTCTCTCTTTATTCTGCTCTCCCCACCTATTCCACCTTCCTCAGGATCCACTGGTTTCCCTCTTTCCTGTTGACTCTCTCTTTCTTAACATTTTTTAATCACAATTGTCTATTTTTGCTCATTTTAAATATATTTTTAAACATTTTCTAAATGCTTTTTTATATTTTTACATTTTTTGTTTTTGTGAAGCGCCTCGTGATTTTTATCTTGAGAGGTGCTATAGAAATGATATTTTCTTCTTCTTGTTCTCTGTTATAACGCAGAAACACTGGAGCTGGGGATTGTTATCCGTAGCTGATTCTGCAGACCTCCTTGTGAAATGTCACCAGCTCCCTTAGACTGGAAGCTAGTTTCTGTTTTTCCTCTAGTCAAAAACATCAGAATTTCTTAAAATTCTAGCCATGAAAATCCAAAAACCTTTTTCATCTGAGATTTTAATTTTTCTTTACACGTGCTATTCAAAGGGATTTTGCCTATGACCAAATTTTTTAAGGCTCTACTTGAGTTTTCTCTATGAGGGCCAACTGCCCCGGGAGAGGTGGTTGGCTGTGACTGCCTGCATGCTTCTCTTGCCCAGGGTTAGGGTTAGGGTTAGAGTCGTTATGGTAAACAAGTACATCCATAAGACAGTCAGAAGGGAAGAGTTGTGTCATCAAATTTTTAAAATATCTTGCCATGTGAATCATGCTTACGAGGAATATAAGTGCAATCAACCACTTTGGACAAAATCCAGAACCAGGTTTTGGGGACTGGTCATACATTTTATCTAGCACGCATGGATATGGTAAAGATATGTAGCCATTTTCAATTTTTTTTCTCCTTACACCAAATAAAGCACGCTGTTGGTGTCTTAGGTTTCAATTCAACATGAATCAAACTGAAAAGCTAGACTTTTTCTCACAAATGTGTGCCTCCAACTTGTTGTCAAGTGAGATTCTGATTTTGATAACTTAATCTGCTTATTCTGCACATTCATACTATGTGTTTTTTTTTTCAACTTGCATTTTCTCGGTTCTTCTGCGTATAAAAAGAACCAAGAAAATGGAAGTTCATCTGCTTCAAGGCCATTCTACCAAAGGTTTACATGCGCACCTATGGCTCAGATGCACAGCTAATTTATTCTGGTACTTGCAGTGTAATCTGATTAAAATGCAGTCTTAAAATGATCTGAAGGTCACCCATCATATTTCAATGGTATTATTTTCTACTTATGATAAAAGAAAGAGAAATGTTCAGTACTATGGGGGGAAGGGGCAGAATAGAATAAAATGACTCTTTACACTCATGTTGGTCTTGTCGCTGCCGGTAGAGGACACACTCCATCTTTTGGCAGCTTTGGCATCAACAGGTGGAGAGTCTCTGTCCTTGTCTGCACTGTGAATCTTCCTGCTCAGGTCCTGAAACATGTCCTGGTGGCGTTTCCTGGTGTGCATTATTTTCTGCACAGGGACATTGCACGTTACGTACAATATAAACACTGCAGACTGCCATCAATTCTGCTTCAGCCCTCTTTAAATTCTTAACAGCACCATTTGAATTCAATTCAATGAACTGACTTGAATTCAAAGGTATAACGACTAATCTAGTGTCTTCTGCAGAGAAGACATCAGCTGTTTGGTCTAAGTTTTACAATCTGTATGAAGCAAAGAGTCTACATTTACCTCAAAGTCAAGCTCTGCATAGCGTGATTTTCGTCTCTGGGGGGAGATGAGACAGAGATTAAAGACGTGTTTCTTTGAGTATCTCCACATCAGCTCATCTAGAGACAATGTCTCTGGGACTCAGAGGAGTGACTTATGGAAGACATAACAAGGTTTGTTGCTGGTTATGCTGACGCTGCTGGCCAAGATTTGTAGCTAACAGATTGTGACCATGTGACCTTTAGGTCATCTGTCAGGGAGCGCTGAAGGAAAGTCTGACCTTCAAGCTGCTGGCTTCTTTTGGCAGCTGCTGCCTGGCATGTCGGTATAGAAGTGTGTTTAGCCTCTGAGAGAAAAGACACCAGCAGACAGATGTCTGAGCCACTTTGTGTTGTCTCACCCTCACAATGCTGTCTTCAGTAGGGGCTGGAAGGAAACTAACCTTTTTCAGAGATGCTGTTCCTACATGGGCGCAGAAGCACTACATGTTTATAATACTGTATTCTTTACTGCCAAGGAGAGGAAGTGCCTTTGAATGCATCAAAAACAATGGCAATGGTGTACATGAAGAAATTAAACGGTATGATTCTGTTAATTCCTAATTAATGAGAATTTTAATTATCCTTAGGTCTGATTAATCAGATAAATAATGTGTGCCTCCCTTGGTGATGATCGTTGGGATTCATTACTCACTGTAGCACTGTGCTTGTCAAACACCAACTAGGCCCAATAAATGACTCCGGAAAGCAATTAGTTTTGAATTTTTCCTTCAGCCCCTGATATAAACGATTTTCATCCATACAGTGTAACATGTCATTGTTCACGGATAGCAGAAAGAAAACAGCAAGTTGTCAGGCAATATGAGCGGATGTCTCTGTATTATGAGAGGGAAGAGAAGAAGACATATGATGAAAAAAGGCAGGAAGTGATACTTCAATAAATTCTCATACATGGAGTGAAAATAATCATGACACTAAATCAGAACAGAGTTTACAGTTTTTTCAGTTGCTTTGGTGAATTTCTCTCAACAGAATTAAACTTTGCACAACAGTTAGTTCAACCTCCACAACATGTAGTCGTTTTGGCACAACCTAGTGGCGTTTTCACGTTCATTTCATCCAAAGGCAAATGCCTTTGAACATGAAGCAGTTGAGTAAGTACAAATGTCTAAAGAATGGTCACTTTTGACTTGCTATTCATCACTATCTCCTTGCTTTTATCATGAATGTCACAATTATTTATACTTGTACCGGCTGAATAGTCATTGTCCTTACAACTAATAGTCTTCATGTCATTGCTCGTGTCATTGCACTCAAAACTGTTGAACATCTTGTCAAACACTTTGTACACCCATTTAGAAAACCCTATTTTTAAGGAGTTTCCATGGAAAACTCCATAAATTACTTTTCTCAGGTGAACCTTATCTCACACTAATGAAAATTGGTGTGTGTTCTGGTGACAATCGGACGATGTATGTAGTGGTTTGGGATAACGTTAGCTTCCATCACTCTGCTGTAGTCAGGCAGTGGTTTGCAGCACACGGCAGGATGCTTATGGAGTTTCTTCCTCCTTACACTCCATTCCTAAATCCAACTGAGGAGTTTTTCTCTTCCTGGAGGTGGAAGGTATATGACAGGCATCCACATACCAAAATGACCCTGCTAGCAGCTATGGATGCAGCTTGTGATGACATCACAGCAGAGTCCTGCAGAAGGTGGATTCGACACTCCAGAAGATACTTTCCCCGATGCATCAATAGAGCTGACATTCCCTGTGATGCTGATGAAAATGTGTGGGCAGACAGACGGGAGCGTCTAGATATGCAGCAGTATCTGTTCAGTTTTTTTTTTGTTTCATAACTACTGCAGTAAGGTTTACTGTCTGAGTGAGTTTATGTTTGCTGTAAAATGTTTGTTTTACTGTATTTCCCCATTTGCACAACGCTGTGAACAGTTTCAATTAAATATTATCAAGAGTGCATATGAAGTGTCTTGATTTTCCTTTACAGTTTATGGTTTTCAACGTGCCATGCATGCTGCCCAGACTTGACATGTAGCTGGGAAGCACCTACAAAGAAATCTGTCACAATGAGAACATGTTCAAACCATTTGATTTTGTGACCAAAGGTGCTGGTGTAATGACTTGTAATTGTGACAGCCCTGACACTTTGATATAAGTACTTGCTTTTGATGAATATATTATCTGTTTTCATTAAGGGACTTGCTTTTGAAGCATTGACTACTTATTTCGAGCAACTGACTTGCTTTTGAACAACTGACTTTTCTTTTTGATGAAGTGACTCACTATTGCAAGTTTTCCAACATGTTTTGCAGTTTGCACTAATTGTTTTGAGAAAAGCCTTAATAGTGGTGCAGAGATCAATTCTGTTGTGAGAAATGCACCAAAGCAACTGAGAAAAACTGTAAACAAAACCAAACCCATCAGAACCATGGCAGCATTGGTTACAGTCACTGTGCAGGAGTCCAATTATTCTCTGACTACTCTGGACATGCCATGGTCTTTACCTGGCAACAGAGTTCAGACGTAGCTGCGCTCCCAGACAATAACTCTTATCACGTAAAAATTTCCCAACAAGAACAGAACCAGATCCTAAACAGAACATGTAAAACACCTCCTTCAATTAAATTTGCAAACAGAATGGGACATCCTCTTCATTACACAAGGCAGCTAGCTATGCATATTGTTAAGGTGCTTCGCCATGAACTAGCATTTTGTGCACACAGATGGTATTATGTGCAGTGGAGTGAGATGCATACAGAAGAGTATTGTGTTGAATGGGTTATTATCCAATCATTCAAAACAAAACCAGTACACAATTGGACAAGGTTGTTCCAGGATTTTAAATTTCAGGGGTGAAATAATATTGGTAGCTATTAGTATGTGAAGAGATGCTTGTGCAATGTGGCAAAGAACAATCCAGAAAAACATCCCTTATTGCACCTTTACTGTCTTCTAGAGGTTTAGGCAGCAGCTGACGTTTCAATAAAAACAACAATGAAGTTTGTATTACTCTCACATGTTCTGTTTGATACTGTTATTGTGAAGATCTAAACCAGGGGTGTCAAACTCAAACTCACACGGGGCCGAAATGAAACTCTGGGACGGAGTCGAGGGCCAAACTTAATATATTTTGAAAAAGTGACGGCAAATTTGCACATTTTCTTTATCAACATTTATGCAATTTTGAACCTTTAAATTTGGAAACAAACATATTTCTGCATTAACACTGAATGTGGAATAACCAAATGACACACGAGCAAGTCAGTTTGAAATAAAAGGCATCAGTGGTATTCATTACTTGTGGTATAATCAGCATTTTTAAAATCTATTCAGGATTTATGTTTTCTTGTTTATTCATTTTTCTTATTTTTTATTCTCCTTTTTTCTCCTGTAATACGTGTCATCGCTGCTGTGACGTCTAGCTTTCCCCACTGAGGAACAATAAAGGGATTTTCTATTCTATTCATCTATCTGCAGCCTTTCCACTTCCTGTTTACTGTAGGTTAAATCTTTGCTCACGGGCCAACAACAAAATAAAAATGTAATTTTATCTTAAATGAAAATGCAACATCTCACCTGTTAACTTTCATGTTTTGGAGCAGAAAAAGAGCATAAAACCAACATATTTAAAGCTCAGTTTGCTCCACTGGTTTACTGTGATGCTCACCTGTTCCAGCCAGATACCTGCATCATGGGGTTGGTCTGAGCTGAGGAGGAGACTCCTGTTGTTTTGTTCATCTTCATCATAATAATGACAACATTAGATGACAACAGGTGCTCACATAGGTTTGTGCTGATGAACATGTCGGAGCAGCTTGACCACGTTGTTGTGTGTCGGGGGGGAAACACGACAGCAACCACAGAGTCGTGCTGGTTTGAGCGTGTCGCTGCTCGCTGGAGTCATATCAGCTCTGTCTGGACGTTAGTTGGAAAACTTTCTCTTTCAGTCGTGAACACATTACTGAGCGGCTAGAATCTCCGTTTCTGGGCTTCAACGTCAGAAAACAGCTGAGTGAACTCGGTGCTGAGTGAGAGGAGCGGTTTGTCCGAGACAGCGGAGCTGCAGACAGCCAACTACCCCTGACTGCCTCGGGCTGGAAAAAACACAAAGGAGGGGGCGCGTCGCATCCGCGCTGACGCCGTAAAGCATCATGGGAGTTGAAGTCTTTGCGGTAAAATCGGCCAGCGGGCCAGTTTTAATATATTTTTGATATTTATCTCGCGGGCCACATGAAAATGCTCCGCGGGCCGCATCTGGCCCGCGGGCCTTGACTCTGACATATGTGCTCTAAACCCTAACCCTAACCCTCCAATCCGCCTATCAATCTCATGCTCCAGTTTTCCCTCACTCGTGAACAAGACCCCGAGATACTTAAACTCCTCCCTTTGGGGTAGGACCTCATCCCTGACTCGGAGAAGGCATTCTACCCTTTTCTAAATCAAGACCATGGTCTCAGATTTAGAGGAGCCAATTCTCATCCCAGTTGCTTCACACTCAGCTGCAAACCGCTCCAGAGAAAGCTGAAGATCAACGATGAAGCCAACAGGACCACATCTTCTGCAAAAAGCAGAGACCTGATCCTCAGGCCACTAAAACAGATGCCCTCAACACCTTGATTGCACCTAGAAATCCTATCTATAAAGGTTATGAACAGAATCGGTGACAAAGGGCAGCCTTGGCGTGTCCATCTCTCACTGGAAATGAGCCAGACTTACTGCCGGCAATGCGGACCAAGCTCTGACACCGGTCATACAGGGACCTAACAGCCCGAATCATAGGGCCTGGTACCCCATACTTCCAGAGTACCCCCATATGGCCCCTTAAGGGACGTGGTCAAACACCTTCTCCAAATCCACAAAACATATGTAGATTGCTTGGGCAAATTCCTACGCACCCTCCAGGATCCCCCTAAGGGTATAGAGCTGGTCCAGTGTTCCACGGCCAGGACGAAAACCACATTCCTCCTCCTGAGTTTTAGGTTCGACATTCCGACGAACCCTCCTCTCCAGAACCCCTAAATAGACCTTACCAGGAAGGCTCAGGAGTGTGACCCCCCTGCAGTTGGAACACTCCCTGCAGTCATGAGCAGAAACCACAGTCAACATACACCCACACAGTAAACCAGTTTGAGGGAAATAATACCTAACAAAAGGGCCAATATTCAAAAAATTGGCCACAAAAACCAATGTTTCTCTGCTTATATAAAAACAAATTAGGAAGATGTGCAGCGTTGATTAGTATGGGTACCAACACCAGACTCAATCTTCTGGAAATCTCTAAGCACTACACTTACAGCATCTGAACGGAACTCAGTGTAAACAAAACATAATACTTCTAACTATTTTGCATGTAATGTGAACCTATAAACTGTGATTGTTTATTGAATGTATTACTATCATCTACATTTAGACACACAGACAGTAATTCAAGCTGCGTGATGTCAAACTTTTTAGTTTGCCTCTCTGGGGCTTAGCAAAAATAAATATAAATGTAGAACATGAATATGTTTTTTTTTCTGTTGACTTTCAGGGCTTCCGTACTTCACCCTTAAATGAAATTGAAACATGGTACAAAATGAATTTGTGTCAAATACTTTAAACAATCTATCAGAGATTACAAAGATCCCAATGGGGAGTAAAGGTTGCAGTTCTGATGGGTCTGGTGTTATGTGAACATTTACAATTTTCAATTAGATTACAATAACAAATTAACCAGCAATTTATTTAAAAAACATATCTCTGTTGGACAGTTTTTTCTGTAAAATGTACATAAAGCAAAAACAAAATATCATTTTATGAAATGTAAATGTTTAGGGATCTGTGGTAATCTTGTTACTTCAGCAGTTCATCTAACTTTTAGAAATATTTGAGAATTTATTTAAAATAGCTGAAAACATTGCATGCAGGTTTTATTGCTGAAACATGGTATGACATGCACCACAGTAGACATTCTAGTTGGTTCGTGGTCCTACCTCCAGTGAACTCATGGACAGCGTGGAGATGGTCTCACTCTTGGACATCACTCCAGAGTTTCCGGAATCTCCCCCATCAGCCAAGATGTTGGCCAATTGGGAATCTCTGGGTATTTTCTGCAGATTGTGTGCAGGTGAGTCCCTGTCAGAGCACAAAATGCTGAGTTCCTCGGTAGGCAGGCTCTTGAGCCCAAAAGCAGGCACTGGTTCTGTGCTGGCTGGGTTAACGAGATGGATCAGTCTGGTCTGAGACAGCTGCTCAATGCCGACGCCGTACTTGGTTGTCTGATCGTCTTTCTCTTTAGTTGGTTTCAGGGTGCCGGTGTTGTTTGTTGGTAGGATGACGTACCCTGGGCCTTTGCCAGTGCTCTCGGAGATGCTTCCCTCACCATTAACTCGAGACAAATCTCCATCCAGTTGCTTGAAGAGCTCGCCATCACAGATGTAGATGGACTTTGCACCTGGGAGCTCGGTGCTGATTCCCTTGGCAGCACCCTTTTCCCGACGCAGAGTCAAAGTGTGACTGGTGTAGTCTGCTACATTCTGTAGGTGAACTTTTGTCATGCTGGCTGGCATAGTGTTGAAGTTTGAGCTCTTCTGAAGGGCGAGGGTCCCAGAGGTGGTCTTCTCCTCCTCCTGGAGTGACGAACGCTTTGTAGTTCCTGGAGATAACAAAATAATACCAAGCTATTTTATTTTATCAACTGAGTCATTAGCAACAAACCTCCCATTGACAGTACTGGACCCATACACTCTGGTTTGTGTCTGACACTGACAAAAAAATACATTGAACAATTATGGAATTTATACTATTTAATGAGTCACCTTTCTGTTCACAAAGATTAGTTACAATAAGTCAATCCATAAACATGAACTGGTGATGTTAAAACAGCTGATAATTTTTATACATGGGCAGCAGTAGCTCAAGAGGTCCAGTAATTAGAAGGTTGCAGGTTTGATCCCGTCTCCAGACAGAGAATTCTGTTGTTGTGTCCTTGGGCAAGACACTTAACCCATTTTGCTTTCTGGTGGTGTTTGGAGGGACTGGTGGTGCCTGTGCTCAGCAGCCTTGCCTCCGTCAGTGCACCCCAGGGCCAAAACATTCAACTGGCAAGGGCAGAGTTGGAAAGAACAAAGTAGCCAAAGTAATCAAGTAAATGATAAAAGAAGCGTACACATATGTAACGTCCAAAAGGGTAAATTTTCTCCTATATATTGATCAACATAATATAACCTTACATCTACAGAAATAAATCCATTTTCCAGGTGACCTAAATCCAGAAGGTTCTGTTCAGTGCATGATGGCATTCCATAAAGACAAAACATTAAAACAAACCTTCTCACCCAAGGTTCTTGCACTCACTGTGTGAATGCCAGACATCAATATTTTTTCACTCTGAATAAGTGAATAATCACATGTGATGAATGAACAAGATGTTTGAATGAAATGTTTGAATAATCGGTGCTTAAATCAATGAATTTAAAATGAATATTGTTCTTACAATGATCCATTTATATCACAGACCAGTGTGTGTTTGATTTAACAAGTTAGTCATTGTCTACACTCATAGACATTACAATAAGATACTCATTAAGGTTAAAATATCTTTGTATCTGAAAGAAGGCATGACCCTCTGAAAGATGTTGGTAAATAATCAGAAATGTGTCAAATTCTGATTTGCCAAACTTGGCCAGAAATCATAACAAAGTAGTTAAATAAAACAAGAATTACTTCCCGAGTAACTCAGTTTCCAGCTGAGCCCCGATTCGGCCAAATCGGGAAAGAAGCCTCTTTTGAAACAATGTCCTTTGACCTTAAGTCAAAACCTTTCTGCGACCTTGCAACTGATTACAGACACAACAGCTCTTTTAAGAGCTATTTCAACTCATACATCCACCTTGGACATCTAACCTGCAGACCTCAGGCTGCATCTCATGGCCGGGGAAGCTGAACTCAGAAGAAGCTACTAATCTCTAAGTATTGTGGTTTCGACGTCCGGTGACCTTACCACTCCGACCGCAACCCTTCGGACCGCAGGGAGCAACTCATACAAGGGTATCGTAAGCCTGCATACTGGTGTCTGATGAGGTTTTTATCAATAACTAACTCACTAGTTTATAACAAACAACACATTCCTTTACAGCCAGATTTCACAATTTCTCTCAGATACAAAGAACGGTTGCTACAACATCAAGCTCCCATCACAACACCTCACATCCACCACACCACATCTCATTATTCATATCTGGTCATGTATAAATTATTAGTTAAGGAAAAATAATTAAATTAATTTTATAAACTGTATACTGACTCTGTCTGAATTAATACGAAGTGTGTTTATGGTCCCTGAACAAGTAAAAGTTACTAGAATCTTCTGATTAAACATTCAAAGATCAATCAGGTTGATATTTCATATCTGTATGGAATATCACACCTTATTGGTCATAAATAATATGTTTTAATTGCTACATTGTGCAGTCAAAGTCTTGGTTATACAGTGTTCATATTTTAAATTAAAATAAAAACAAAAATAAAACATAAAAGGTTTATACAAAAAATAGAAGATAGAAAAGAATAAAAGAGACACGGGGTAGGTGGTTATGGAAAACAGCTGGAACTAATTAAGGTCAGTCCGTCATTGCGCATTTCCTAAAATATTTTATGTAGGTCATGTCAGAGGAGAAAACTTGTTTTGAAAGTTCCTAGTGGAAGCACCAACGCGGTGATCCTCCAAAGCGATGCAAACGAGATTCATCAAAAAGACTGGAGGGGCAGGTGGTAAGACGCCAATTTGTAACGCGTGTGTGTGATGCCGATCAGCTGATGGATGATTGTTTAGCGCAGCTCAGAGCTGGCACTGTAGACTCCGGTGTGCATCAAAAATGTTTGTTTCGGGTGTTTAGTAATTAACTTGGTGTTTGATTGTTACATAAATAATTTCAAATCTGCTAATTATTTATTGTTTTGATATAAAGTTGAATCATAAATAGTTGTAATGATGAATTTAAGTGAGTTTGGGTTCAAATTAATTAATCACGTATTTATTTTATAAATGTTAGCTTAAATTTGATCATGTTGTAACATTCATTTATCTATTTTATAAGTGTTAGCTTACATGGAAATAATGACATTTTACACAAGTACACTGTTTCTTAGTACACACAGTTTTTGTTTAGGTTTTTCACCTGCTCGTACGCTTTGCTTCGGGTTAGGGTTCATGCTTCGCCACCTCCTATTTCCATTTTAAATAATATGAAATGAGAATGAAATAAAGGAAAATGAAAAGTGAAGTTATGATGTCCTGAGTGGAATCCTGCACATATTTCTCCAGCTAGATTATCCCTTTCAAGTGAGGATTGTGTACCACTCAAATAACTTGGCATACATACATACATAATTAAAAAAGTGAAAATAGATGTATGAATGTAAAAACATAGAGACAGTGTCACTCTCTAAACGTTGAGGAATAGGAGTTTGTTTTTAAAAGTGGCTTGAAAGCAGTAAGATCTGAGGAAGTTCTGATCTTGAAAGGCAAAGTATTCCCCAGTTTAGGGGCACAAACTGCAAACACCCAGTCACCTCAGCATTTATATTTAGATCAGTGTTTTCTAACCCTGGTCCTCACGGCATATTTACCCGCACGTTTTCTATTTCTCTTCTTCAGCACACCTGATATACACTGGCTTCTCAGGAGGACATCAAGTACTGCAGATGCCTGTTAATCACTCATTCATTTAAGTCAGGTGTGTGGCAGCAGGGAAACACTGATGTTTAAGAGGGCCACATGGAAAACATGCAGGACAGTGTGCCTTAAGGACCAGGATTAGGAAACATTTATTTAGATTTAGTAACCTATAGCAAGTTTGAGAAGATGGCCTGATGACTCTTACTGGCTGGTAGAGATGGATCTGCTCTGTCAAGTAGGATGATGCCAGTCTGTTCAATGATTTAAAAACAAAAACAAAAAAACAGCTATTTAAAGTCAATCCAAAAGTGTCCAGAGAGCCAGTGGAGAGAGGTCAAAACAAGAGTAATATGTTCAACTTTCCTTCTGTTTGTCAGCAGGTGAGGAACAGCACTTTAGACTGATTGAAGATATGACACAGATGACTTATTCAATCCCAAATAAAGAGCATTGCAATAAAAGCATGGATCACTGTCTCAAGGTCTTTAAATAAGAGAAAGGGCTTAACTTTACTCGGTTACCTTAAGTAGAAAAAACAACATTTCACAACAGCATTTATTTGTTTATCAAAGTCTAAAATTGTTGTCAAATATTTTGCCCAAATTGTTTACATAAACCTTGTATTGTGTGGTGTGAAAGGAAAAAAGAAAAGTAAGAAAGAAAATGATATTTCATGATAAAAATTACGAGGTGTTTCACATAAATAAAGAAAATGGTTGAAGTACAAAAAACATTTAAAAAAAGGATCAAACATTTGTTCAAAATGAGAAAAAATAAATTAAATTGTGAGGAAAAACATAATATTGTAAGCGAAGGGAGAGAGAAGGGGGGTGTTAGCTCATTCACTGCCATTGACGAAAAAAACAAAACAAAAACAAAAAATAATAATACACCAAACTTATATAGCGCTTTTTAGGTCACTCAACGACGCTTCACAAAAAATGCAATGAACACATAATAAAACTAAATTAAACATATTGAACAGACTGGGGGATGCTGGGTTGATCCTAAGAGAAGGCCAATTTAAAGAAGTGGGTTTTAAGCAGTGACTTGAAAGTAGAACGAGAGGTAGAATTCCTGATGTTTAGTGGGAGAGAGTTCCAAAGTGTGGGGGCAGCGGCTGCAAACGCTCGATCCCCCATGGTGTGTTGTTTTGTTTTGAAAGTGGAAAGGAGGTTGGAGTCAGCAAGCAGAACGGAGGTGCCGGGATGGTGCAAGGTTATTGAAGCATTTGTAAGTGATGAGGAGCAATTTGTAATGGATCCGGTATGGAACTGGGAGCCAGTGAAGTTGTTTGAGTACTGGAGTTGTGCGGTTCCTGGAGCGAGTGTCAGTGAGTAAACGTGCTGCTGAGTTTTGGATGTATTGAAGTTTTTGTAGGGCTGAGGAAGGAAGTCCGTAAAGAATGCTGTTACAATAGTCCAGTCTAGAGGTTATGAAGGTAAAGATGTGTTTGGGCAGTGGAATCAGTGAGGGATGGACGGAGACGGGCAACGTTGTGGAGATGGAAGAACGATACCCTGTGGATGTTGTTGATGTGGGACTTGAAGGAAAGGGAGGAGTCGAAGATGACGCAGAGATTACAGACTGTAGAGGAGGGAGTAACTGTGAGACAGTCAATTTGTAGAGAAATATTTTGAATTGAGGGTAGAAGAGATTTGGGACCAGTTATAACGAGTTCTGTTTTGGAGCAGTTTAATCCATCCAATGTTTTATGTCAGAGAGGCATCCTGAAATCGTGGAAAGAATGGCTGGGTGATTGATTTGCTGGACAGGTAGAGTTGTGGGTCGTCAGTGTGGCAATGAAAGTGGAGACCGTGTTGGCGTATGATATGAACAAGGGTGAGCATGTAAAGGATGAAGAGGAGTGGCCCCAGCACAGAGCCCTGGGGAACACCATGGGTGACAGGGGTAGTGTGTGTGGTGCAGTTGTTGACAGAGACATAGTGGTGGTGGTCAGTGATGTAAGAAGTGAACCAGTTGAGTGCTGAGCCTGTAATACCAATAGATGATTGAAGACTGGTTAAGAAGTCTGGCATGATTGATGGTAGCGAAACAAAACAACAACAAAAAAAAAACTTCTGAAAAACACTTCTGAAAGCTGAGCTGAGGTCAAGGAGGAGGATAATGGTGAGGGAACCAGAGTAAGAAGCAATCAAGAGGTTGTTGGTTACTTTCAGTAAGGCAGTTTCAGTGCTATGATGAGCACGGAAGCCGGATTGGAAAGTTTCAGAGAGTTGGCAGAATTTTAGGTATTGTTGTAGTTGAGTGGTGACTGAGCGTTCCAGGGTCTTTGAGAGTAGTGGGAGGTTAGAAATGGGTCTGAAACTATGCATAGTCTGGGTTCAGACCAGGTTTTTTTCAGAATGGGAGTAATGGAGGCGGGTTTGAGTGAAGGTGGGACAGATCCAGTAGTTAGGGAGGTGTTTGTGATACTGATAATAAGAGGGGAGAGAGAGGGAAGACAGGTTTTAATGAGGGGAGAGGGGATTGGGTCTATCATACCATACCAACTTTATTTCTATAGCACAATTTAAGACACAGCTTGAGAGCTGTCCAAAGTGCTGAACAGGCAGGATCAATTAAAACAAAAGTAAAAATAATAAGAAAAAACACAATAATAAAAACTATTAAATCATAATATGATAACAAGAATCACTGTTTAAAAGCCAAGTCATAAAAGTAGGTTTTTAAACAAGATTTAAAAACAGGCAGAGAGGATGCCAGCTTAACTGTAATGGGCAGTGAGTTCCAGAGCATGGTGGCAACATGGAAAAACGCACGTTCACCTCATGATTTGGAGGCCATCTGGGCAATGCAAGGCAGTAGACGGTCAGCTGACCTCAACATACAAGTAGGTACATAGAGAGTCAGCAGGTCGGACAGATAAGGAGGAGCTAGGTCGTGTAGGGCTTTAAAAACATACATCAATATCTTAAAATGCACACAAAATGTGATGGGGAGCCAGGGTTAGGATCAGTATATTAGTACTCAGTGATCGCCCCCTGAATCAGTCACAGACCAAAACAGTTTATTTAGGGTGACCCCGGCAGTGTACGGGTCGTCACATGTCACTCAGAAACCCCACTCCAGTATTGGTTCATCTAGGGGAGGGAGGGAGGGAGGGAGGGAGGGGGGGAGGAGAGAGAGAGAGAGAGAGAGAGAGAGAGAGAGAGAGAGAGAGAGAGAGAGAGAGAGAGACGTGAATGCATCCTACCCACAACCGAGCCGGACTAGGCTTGCCTGGGTCCCCCAGTCCATCTCCCACTAGTTGGGAGATGATAAGAAAAGGGCAGCAAGGTCAGAGTTAGGGTTAGAGTGAGGGCCAGGGTCAGAGTTAAGGTCAGAGTTAGGGCCAGGGGGAGGGGTAGGGTTAGGTGTGGGGTCAGAGGAAAGAGCAGAAAGAAAGATAGGGTCATAAGCTAAGGACCTGGGTCATGGGCAAGGTTACAGCCCAGTATAAAGGTGAAATACACAGGTCAGAACACAGACCAACGTTCAGATTAGAGTCCAGAGTGAGCCAAAACGAAACAAGGAAAAAACAACTGTCCACCCATGGTATAACTCATTTAATATTAATTTATATTAGACTAATATAAAACGGGAGGGAATTTTGGACACATCATCAGTAGTGGACCTCGGGATCACAGGATGTTTCAGCCATTATCACTAGACACCCTCACACAAGGAAGGCCCAGCCAGGGTTGATCAAATTCTGGTGTGCGTCATTTTACCAAATTAGATTTTAAAGTGAATTATTAATGTGAATTAATGACTCAATTCAGTAATTGTAAGGCTAATCAGAAGTGAACGTGTACTTTTAAAGTCCCATTTTGGGCTTAAACAGTACATGATAAGTTTAGTCAGAAGTGAACTTACACTTTAAGATTTAACTTATTTCAAGGTAAAAAGTTAACCCATCAAGTAAATGTTGAAGCAAAAGTGAATTTACATTTTAAGAATACATTTGTTTCAAAATAAAGACTTAACCCACCAATTGAGCACAGTTTCAGTAGAAGCAAAAGTGAGCTTACACTTTAAGATCTCACTCTTTTCAAATTACACAGTTAGTCCATCAAATAAATGTAGTAAAAGTGAACTTACACTTTAAGATTTCACTCATTTCAAAGTAAACAGTTAGTCCACCCAGTCACTGTGGTTTCAATAGAAACAAAAGTGAACTTACACTTTAAATTTTTACTTTTTATTAAGGTAAACAGTTCTCTTACCCCCTAGGTAGAACCCTTCGGTAAACAGGCTGGTTGTTGACATCGTAAGGTTGCTCCAGCCTGTGTTGCCTGTCGGCAAAGCCGGTGTCGGTACAAGATCTGCTCGGGTGCAAGATCGGCTCGGGGTCCTTCGACTACCGATGACGTCAAAGTACGGCAAACCCACTTGGACAAAATACACTACACATCTATACTGTTGGAAAGAATTTAGCAGTTTCGTTATTAAAATAATGTTTCTTAAGACTAAGTTTGTGTTTATAATGGTATTTGTAAAATAAAACATTATATCTTATTCATAATGTTGAACTCCTCTTTGAGCACATCCCTTGAAGGATCATAGGTATTAGCAACACCTGTGAAACTGTCTTTGCAGGAAAGAAGTGTGTCCCGTTTATTGAAGTATTTTGTGTTTAGAGTTTTTGACGTCTTGTCCATGCGTAGTTCAGGTACGCTCATAGCTGCTAGCCAAAACTCTGGAGTTAAAAGTTTTCTGGCTTTACTAAAATACCTGTCTGTACTTATTTGATTGATGGTAGTTTTACTTTCTATTAGACTCCAAATGTAATCATTTGGCATGTTTCTAATTCTTAATTTGTAAGAATGTAATCGGTGATATTAGCATTCACATTCCTATGGGTTTTTCCATGTAAATTAGCATTACGCTAACCACTCGCTGCCAAATTGCAGCCTTTGCGATTAGAAAATCTCCTTTTGTCACATCGCAATTTAATTGCACATGCAATTAATTGTTCAGCCCTAATATACATGCAGCTCTATGCTAAAAGTGTATTATCAAAGAGGTAATGATGGATTTCTTTGTAAAAGTTGTCCATCTTTCCAACAGAACGATTTGCCTGGACCAACGTAACGTAATAACAACGTAACGTGATAACAACGTAACGTGATTACGTAATCCCGTAAGGTTCATGTTCAGCCAATCAACTACTTTGACGTCATCAGCAGTCGACGGACCCCGAGCCGATCTTGTACCGACACCGGCCCTGGACATTGTGTCCCAAAATCATTTCAGCATAATGATTTTAGGCTTGTGGAAGCATTACATTCAGACAGTGCTTCAAACTGAACTGCATCCTCTGTGGCCCTTTTTTCTATTTAATGAATAAGAAAATAAAAAAATAAATACAAAAAATCTGTAATCTGTCTTTTGTCTCCTTCTGAAGTCTCAGCAGCCCTCTCCACCAGATGTTGTTGTTGATATTCTGTGTTAAAGTCAAAATTAGACTTCCACTCCCAGCAGATTTCTGATCACAGCCAGTATCTAATGCATCACTGCTCGGCAACCTTGTGTGCAAACAGCTCTTGACAATAAGATGCTGCGGTTGTTCAACAGCAGTTAAGGGGAAGGGCTTGTCTCAGAAGACAAAACCACACAAGAAGTCAGACTAGAGCTCACCTGATCTGCAAGCCATGTCCACATCTTTCTCAAAGTCAGTCTGAAGAGAGAAAACAGTTACTGTCTATGCAGTTCACATCCCAACAGTATCAATTAAAAGGAATTTGCACTCAAAATATTGATGTGTACCATGAGTTGAGCATGACCATTTTGGAAAGATCCTCCTGAATCTCCATTAGTGTCTTCCTGCCGGTCCACCACGCGACACTTTACAGCCTCCTGGACCTGCAAGACACAAGGCATAGAAGAATGGTCCTAAAGTTGTTGGTCAGCAGACTGATGATGTAAAAGTAGACCAGAACCGTTTCTTATTAATGTGATTGTCAGATGGGTGGGGTGATGGTGGCAGAGAAGTTAAGCATCTGCCCCATACCTGGAATGTTGCAAGCTCATGCCCCACTAAGTCTGTCACACAGCACACGGCCGACATTTAAATCAATCCAGGTTGATGTTATGTTAATGAGCTGGAAGTCTTTATCCTAGTTTACATTTGCATTAGAAAACAGACTTCTTCCACTCCAGTACAGTAGGCCTATCATGTCAGCATTCTTCCAGTTAGCTTATAGCAAAGCAAATAGTAAAACAAATGCTGGTGGGAGAAACACAGATGAATTGACACAGGATATGCACGATGGTCGAAGGAATGGACAACAACAGCTCTTCAGCACAGTTTATTTGGCACATACTGTACTGTGTGATGGTGTAACACATGTTACATTGGGGTGATGATATTATCAGTAGACCGTTTCCATGGTCTTGTCACATCCAGAACGCGAGCATCCAACTGGTTCAGTTCAGCTGACCCATTTACATGCAGAATGTATTCTGATTGCTACTGCATTACCAGGGTACTTCAGCTCACTTAGAACCAGTTTGCCTTCAGCCAGATCAATGTGTACACATGCAATTAAAAAACAGATTTGAGTGTTTTTAGGGCAATACTTCAGTTTTCTGATGTGCATGTAAATGTCCTGCTAGTCATTTGTCCTCGGGCAAGACACTTCCCCTTCCTGTTGGTGGTGATCAAAGAAACCAATGGTGTCTGTGTAGCCTGGTCAGCCATGCCAGTGCTTCCTTGTGGGAAGCAAAGAACCTGGTAATGCTCCCATTCAAATAAGCCCACCCCCTGAGAATTCTAACCAAGCCAATCAGCGCTGAGCAGCATACATCACACACCACAATGCTCAATTTCTCATTAAAAACAAAGATGGTGTAGCGTACAAAAATGCCATGTAATGCATAAGTGATGACATGCGTCAACAACCTGCTCTACCAGTGGGCAGATGTCACCACACATCAAGTGTCCAGCCGATTTCATCTGCCTGGAATATTGAATGCTTCCCCATACCAAAACAGTCCACTGTTTGTTTATCTTACCCTGGCCATCTGGATATGTCGTCATAACAAACTTTCATGTTGACATGGAGCTGAAAAGCACAAAGTCTCCTCATAAGACATGACTGTTTATAACTTTAATAAAGAATCTTATTTGGTCTCGTAAATGATTTCCTAACTTTACAAGTTGAGTACAGTCTTATTCTGTTTTATCTACAATGAGTAATTTATCTAAAGTGATTTAATAATGTTTTGACTGCTTTACAGTAAGGAATGAATCGACATAAAAATGTATTCTTGAAATAACCGTGATACACATCTTTATGCTGACGATAGTTATTTACTGTAGCAAACCAACCATTTCTGGGATAAATATATCTCTACAGCAAGATTTTGATGCTGTTCAGCAGTGACTATAAGTCAATAAAATTCTACTTAAATCAAAATCCTATTCATTACTATTTCATAAGAAGGCTGTAGACTCAAGCGAAAAAATACCTTAATCTTCGTTTTCACGACTCTTCGCCTCTTGAATCAATTGAGACCTTTTAAATACCTTGGCATTTGGCTGAATTTGTCACATGCAGTGTAGATGGTGGTGACCCATGTGTGGTGAAGCTGGACCAGGAGGCAGAAATGCCAGATCAGGTAAAAAAAAAAAAAGGATTTAATAAATAATGGCAGGTTGGATGATACAACAGGCACAACGTAACAGGGTGAAGACACAACAATGACCTGACAAAGAACAAGTACAAAACAGGGGGTATAAATACACAAGGACAATCAGAAACACATGGGTAGGATAACAAGGAGCAGGTGAGTCCAATAAACAACTAATTAGGGGTAAAGAAGACGAAGAGTCAGAGGGGTTGGAGCAGATACTGACAGGATTCTGATCTAACTTTTAAAACTCATGTTCATGCAAGTACACATAAACTCAATTCTCAGGTAAAAATACTTTGTCGTTCTGTTAAATGTTTTAACTTTCTGATCAGGGAAAGAATAGTCACACAGCTGCTTCGGCCTACTGAGGAATATGCTGTCATTATTTAGCAAAATACCGCTGCTTTTTGTCTGCATTCTTTAGGTGTTGCATATGGCATCTATGCCATTTTGTGCTTCATTGTCCCTCCTGGCTTGCACCTTTGGCCAGGATACAGTTTCACTGGATTCAGGTTACTTTCAAAAGCTTTTACTTTAACTACCCTGATTATCTTAAGTTACATTTGGTAAGTTACAACTCACTTCACGGTCTGCGACATAACAAACAGATCTTTTTTGTTGTTCCTAGAGTTAAAAGAGAGGTAGGCAAATATGCCCTTTGTTTTAAGGCCTGGACAATCTTTGTCCAATTTTGGTGAGCTGCTGCAAATTGTAGCCTCTTTTTCCAATTTGTAGTGGAGATGAGTGGTACTCGGTGGGGTCTTCTGCTGGTGTAGCCCATCCACCTCAAGGTTGTGAGTGTTGTGGCTTCACAAATGCTTTGCTGCATTCCTCGGTTGTAACAAGTGGTTATTTCAGTCAAAGATGCTCTTCTATCAGCTTTAATCAGTCGGCCCATTCTGCTCTGACCTCTAGCATCAGCAAGACATTTTGGCCCACAGGACTGCTGCATACTGGATGTTTTTCCCTTTTCACACCATTCTTTGTAAACCCTAGAAATGGTTATGCAAGAAAATCCCAGTAACTGAGCAGATTGTGCAATACTCAGACCGGCCCGTCTGGCAACAACAACCATGCCACACTCAGAATAGCTTAAATCACCTTTCTTTCCCATTCTGACATTCAGTTTGGAGTTCAGGAGATTGTCTTGACCAGGACCACACCACTAAATGCATTGAAGCAACTGCCCTGGGATTGGTTGATTAGATAATTGCATTTCTTCTCCTGGCACTCACAGAGCACAGACGCTTCTGCTTTGCTCCCTTATCTTTTTTCCCAAGGCTCTTTTGTCCTGTCTGCCTACAGAGCGCTTCTCTGCATTTCCTCTGGAAATCCCTATTTTTCAGAAATGGATTTAATTAATTGGTCATTCAACGCGATTGAAAAGTTTTTTCTACGATGAGAATGGAGGAGGGGGCTCGCTCACGCCCTCACGGGACACACACAGCGGGATATATGCTCGACTCCTGGAAGGAGTGGAAGGTCGTCTGTCTCTCTCAGCTGTCCATTGAAGACGTCGAAGACGTGTGGATATTTGGCCTGATGATCACTGGATTTCTTCTGATTGGAGTGGGAGGATATCTGGTTTTCCGAAAAATTGGGAAGACGGGAGCGATTGAAGGGCGACCCGCACCCATGGACAGCACCGTCCGGGCGGAGACCTCACAGACTGGGACGTTACTCGAGGTGAACCGTAAGCTGGACAATGTCTTAGCTGCGTTACCGGTGTTAGTGCGCAAAATGGATGTCATCTCAGAGAGGGTCACCGGACTGTGTGGAGATGTTTAATAACCCGAATTGGCTTCACTGAAGGACTGAAATGACCAGTTACAGACTGAAGGCAGAGGGGAAAATTATCTCTGCCTGACCCAAACACAGTCTTGTCATCCTAATCTGATGCCAAGGCAGCCTTGGACTGCAAACAACAACCCCCACGAAGGAAGGAATGCAGACAGATGCTGTGGAAACCCGCCCCCACCCCCCCCCCCACCCCCCACCCCCATTCGTGTTGCGAATGACCGCAGTCACCAATTCTTGTCATGTGTCTTGCCCATGGATGTCTGATCTCTGAATTGTGTGTACTGAAACTCAATTTCGTTTCTCTGTATGTCCTGCACATGTGGTAGAAATGACAATAAATGACTTTGATTAAGGAATTGAACAGTTCCTAATAATCCTTTCGGTGAGTGTATGTCGTATACCAAGAGTTTATTTTAGATACCTCTCTGCGCAGGATGCAGTGAACCATAACTATAACGAAGCCCTCCAAGGAATCAAAAACAGCAAATAGAATCTGGAAGAGTGCAGAGCGTCGGTCGGTGATTGCCAGCACAGCAGACATCCATGTGAGGGCCAAGAGAGGCAAAACCACACAGGAGCTCCACAGTGAGGCCCTGCAGAACAGGAACAGAAAAACAGTCAGGCATGGGCATCACACAACATTCTCTTACAATCATTTTCATTAAAAAATATATTTTTCTAGTTTATACTGTCACATATAAACACATCCCTGACACACTGATGATAAAAATAAAGTAGACATGTTTATAAAACAGTAAAACATGTTAATCTGCTAATAATCATACACAATGTATGTCCTGCATTAGATTTCTACCTGTTTTAATATTGTTAGCAGTCATTAAATCTACTCATGCATGGATATAAAGCATCACAACAAGAATCGTTTTTCTATTACAAAAGCATACATCCATAGTTTGCCAAATATATATGTTTGTAGATCACATATATCACATGCATGTATGTTTCAGATGTAAAACCATAGAGAGTCTGTATTGCCACAGGAGAGAAAGAGAGGGAGCGAGTGTTAGCGGTGAAAAAATATGAAATGTGGCTGAAACAGAATGCAGACAAACAGGGGTGGGGGGGTGGGGGGGTGGGGGGGGGGTGTCTGAGGAGCTCCTGCCTGTCCCTATCAAAGGGTATTTGTTTTCCTGACTGATTCCATTTGGTCTAACAGGAGTATTAACTAGGAGAAAAACTACCCTGAGTTTAAGTGCTGTGAAAGTAGCTCAGCATGATCAGAACTTTCACTTTTAATTACACAATACCCAGAGGTGAAGAAAGAACTCAGCTACAAGCCTGGAGTCTCTGCAAAAGGTTGTTGAAAGAACCACATTAAACAAGTTGAGAATGATCATGTGAAATGGCAGGTTTACACTTCATGACCTTCTGATGAGGCAGAAGAGCAGTCGCAGAGGAGGCAAGTGGTTGCACTCATTTTACTCCAGGACAGAGAAGCTTAAAAATAGTGTTTGTCCCCAACAGTTATGAAATGTTTTAACAGTATCTGATGGGCTTATTTATGATATGCATCTATTTTTGGTGCCTATTTTTCAATCTTGTATTTGGCTGGACCTCCTTTAGCTTTGATTATGATACACATTCGCTGTGGCATTGTTTTGATAAGCGTCACCAGATTTATTTCCATCCAGTGTTGCATTAATGTTTCACCAATATTTTGCATTGATGATGGTGGAGTCTCACCATTATACAAAGCCTTCTCCAGCACATCCCAAATATTCTCAATGAGGTTCAGGTCTGGACTCTGTGGTGGCCCATCCATGTGTGTAAATGATGTCTCATGCTCCCTGAACCACTCTCTCACTATCTGACCCGATGAATCCTGGCATTGTCATCTTGGAATATAGTCGTGCCTTCAGGGAAGATGGAATAACCTGGTCATTCAGGATATTCAGGTAGTCAGCTGACCTCATTCCTGGAGCACATCCTGTTGCTGAACCTAGACCTGACCACCTGCAGCAAGCCCAGATTATAGCACTGCCCCCACAGGCTTATGCAGTAGGCACTAAGCATGATGGGTGCATCACATCATCTGCCTCTCTTCTTACCCTGATGCACCATCACTCTGGACCAGGGTCCATCTGGACTCATCAGACCAGTTGGACAGTTCTGAACCCAGTTTTAGTCGTTTCTGCGTCTCCTTAGATGTTTTCTCCGCTTGATGCCGATGATCTGACCTTTCTCACACAGACTAACATCTTCTCCACCACTAGACGTGTCTTTCCACCTGGTTGTTTAAGAAATGAGAAGAAGCTCGTTGGACCAGTTTGGTTAAATAACTAGTTGCAGCTGAAAGATAATCGCCTATGCAGTAATTATCCACTAGGAGGCCCCTACCTGTCTGCTTAGGGGGGGTCTGTGTCTACCTATCTTACAAGAAGAAGAAGAAGAAAATATCATTTCTATAGCGCCTCTCAAGGTAAAAATCACGAGGCGCTTCACAAAAACAAAATATATACAACTTGTAAAAATAGAAAAAAAAGCATTTCGAAAATGTTTAAAAATATATTTAACATGAGCAAGAATAAGCAAATGGGATTTAAAAGAAAAAAATGTAAAGAAAGAGAGAGAGTGAGCAGGAAAGAGGGAAACCAGTGGATCCTGAGGAAGGTGGAATAGGTGGGGAGAGCAGAATAAAGAGAGAGAGGTGAAGAAGGTCATACAAAAGCCAGCTTGAACAAGTGAGTCTTCAGCTGCTTTTTAAAGGAGACCACTGAGTCCACTGATCTCAGGCTCAGGGGGAGAGAGGTCGAGAGTCTGGGGGCCACAGCAGCAGATGATCTGTCACCTTTGACCTTTAGCCTGGTGCGCTGAACAACCAGTAGGCTTTGATCACTGGACCTCAGGGACCTGCTGGGGGTGTAGGGACTAAGAAGATCACCAATGTAAGATGGTGCTTGTCCATGTAAGGCCCTATAGACCAGAACCAGGATCTTGAAATGAACCCTGAAGTTGACTGGCAGCCAGTGAAGCTGGAGGAGAAGCGGGGTGATGTGGGTGTGTTTGGAGGACTTGGTCAGAAGCCGAGCACAGGCGTTCTGAACCACCTGTAGACGGTTCAGGGAGGTTCTGCTCAGACACGTGAAAAGAGAGTTACAGTAGTCTAAGCGTGAGGAGTTGAAGGTGTGGAGAACTGTCTCAAGTTCAGAACGAGACAGAATGGGACTCAGCTTAGCAACGTTCCTGAGATGGAAGAAGGAAGAGCCAACAAGAGAACTGACATGAGAATCCAGGGTGAGAGCTGGGTCAAAGGTCACGCCAAGATTCCTGGCGGAAGGTTTGGTGTGGGAAGCAAGCTGACCAAGAGAGTCTCTGACTTTGGGAACCAGCTTGTCTGGGGCACAGATGAGGATCTCAGTCTTATCTTCATTCAGCTGAAGAAAGCTCCCACCATCCAGGTTCTGATAGAGTCTAAGCAGGTGTGTAACAGCTGCAGCTTAGACATCTCATGGGGCTTAAAAGAGATGTACAGTTGGATGTCATCTGCATAACGATGGTAGGAGATTCCTTTGAAGGAGCTCAGGATGTGCTGAAGAAGAAGCAGATAGAGGAGGAAGAGCAGAGGCCCCAGCACAGAACCTTGTGGGACACCATGGGTAAGAGAGGTGGTGGAGGACCTAAACTTGGAGACGGCCACAGAAAAGGAGCGCTCAGAGAGATAAGAGGAGAACCACTCCAGAGCAGATCCTGATAGGCCTACCCAGTCTCTCGGCCTCTCCAGTAGCAGGTGATGGTCAACAGTGTCAAAGGCTGCAGTCAGGTCCAGCAGGACCAGAACCAGAACCCTGCATCACTGTGAGTCAGAAGGTCATTAGAGACCCTAAAAAGAGAAGTTTCAGTAGAATGAGCTCTACGAAAACCTGACTAGAAGCTATCATAGATGTTATGTTCATCAAGAGCAGCTGTGAGTTGTTTAGCCACAATCTTTTCCAAGATCTTGGAGATGAACGGAAGTTTAGAGATGGGTCTGAAGCTGCTATGGAGAGAGGGGTCGAGACTCGGTTTTTTAAGAAGCGGGTGGATTACAGCGTTCTTAAAGTAAGCAGGGACCTGACCAGAGACCAGAGAAGCATTAATTATAAAGAGCACACTGGGACCGATGGACTGAAAAGCACTTTTAAACAAAGATGAGGGTAAGATGTGGAGGGGGCATGCAGAGGTCTTCATAGAGTTAACTAGTTTGGTTAACTCAGGCAAAGAAACAGGAGCAAAGCTATCTAGGATGATGGGCCTGGTTGGAGTCGGGAGAGGCGGCGATAAGGCTGAAGGAGAGATGCTAGATCTAACCTTATTGACTTTGTCCACAAAGAAAGACAGAAAGTTCTCACAGTCTGCAACAGAGTGGATGGAGGCTGTAGGAGAGGCAGGAGAGACGATGCTGCTGATGGTGTTAAACAGCACCTTGGGGTTCCCTTTGCTCTGGGACACCAGGTTGGAGAAATAGGAAACCCTAGCGTCTCTGACTGCAGAGTTAAAGGATGTCAGAAGATCCTTTAGGAGCAGCAGATGGACGTGGAGATGGGTTTTCTTCCACAAACGCTCAATTTTTCTGCATTGGCGCTTTAGGCTGCGAAGGCTGTCATTAAACCAGGGAGTAGGGTTCACTGCAGGACCTGATCTGGTTCTGACAGGACAGATGTTGTCCAGAATGGAGAGGCAGTGCTTGCTGAACTGAGAAGTTAAGGTCACTGGAGCTATTGCTAGGTCACTTCCTGTCCTTATCACATATTTTCCTGTTTCCCTTCTAAAAGGTATAAATAAACATTTGAATAGAAACAGTGTACACATTCTATACTATTTAACTTTAAATACTTTCTTTCCACCTCTGGTAATACCTTAGTTATTTCCTCTGTGTTGCTCATTTGCCGACAAATGAACCCTTTTATTCCAAACCAGAACCAGGAATTATATTTCTTAAAAGCAGTACTCTGTGCTTAGATTACAGCTTTGCACACTTTATTGTAGCCAATGAAACGGAAATCTGTAAGGCTTGTCACCAGCATTCAGACATCAATCATCTTTGCTTCACAGCCAGATAGGACACGGTAAAAAAAGAAACTGAAATCTGCCTAAATGTGGACCTGATAGGATTTAAATTTGTGGTTTTGAGATTATGTTAAAACTAGAGATTCATGAATAAACCAAATGGTTGTGAATGGGTCCTCTGACAGAGCTCTGTGAGCCACATGCTCGGGAGCCTCTTTTATAAAACTTTGTTCAGAATTCTAGGTCCACTTAAAAATTGCAGTCTCTGATGCTTTTATGGAGCTTTTTTTTGCCAAATGGCTTGAAATTTTCAGAGCTGTGTGTCTAACGTGCATGTGTGTGTATGTGCTGGTAAGGGCCCAATAGCTGAATATGTGAACCACACATATGTTGTCACCAGGAGTTGTGCATACATGAGGACTGGAAACAGTAAATAATCTATTTTATCATAAATATTATTATGATGAGAGCTACATGAGTGGAAATCATCTGTTGGTTGCTCTCATGTGTAAACTCAGTCTAGGGATGTCCCAATCCGATCACATGATTGGAAATCGGCCCCGATCACGTGGTTTCAGACTGATCGGGACTCAGGCTTTACTTCCCGATCCGGACTCGGATACTGGGTTCAAATTACAGGAGAGCAACTTGGTTCTCCTTAAAGGTTTTCAGGCTCCCCTGATGCCCTTAACTTACACACTCAGAAGGAGCACAAAAGAGATCCAGTTTCTACCTTTATTATATTATTTATATGGACTCAGTGTAGCGGGGATTCTTTTGGGCAGAGATGCAGAGAGCGGCAGGCAGACCGCTGATTATTCATGAACTCCAGCTGCGTTCTGCACACGGCCACAGTCACATTTTCTATGTTTCTATGTGGCGTCACCAAAAAATATATAATTAACACACAGTCATTCGTGTCCGTTCATCTTCTCTCTGGTAAGTTCTGTCTGTGTTTGAGCATGACGTGTGGACGCGCTCGAGCTGCCCCCGCTGCAGCGCTCGTCACTGGCACCGTCGGGCAGTGCGGCGCACACTCCGCTTTTTTTGCGGTCAATAGATCAATTTGATCTGCTAGTTAAAAAGTGACTTGTGAGGTGAAAAAGAAGGAAGCAGGCAGGAGTTTTTCTGGAGGACTGGGAGATGCTGGAAGACCAGAGACAGACGGGACAGGAAGATCAGAGACAGACAGGACAGGAAGATCAGAGACAGACAGGACAGGAAGATCAGAGACAGACAGGACAGGAAGATCAGAGACAGACGGGACAGGAAGATCAGAGACAGACAGGACAGGAAGATCAGAGACAGACAGGACAGGAAGATCAGAGACAGACGGGACAGGAAGATCAGAGACAGACAGGACAGGAAGATCAGAGACAGACGGGACAGGAAGACAGGAAAATATAAACAAAAAACAAAACAATGTTCTTAAAAAAATAAAATGTAGGTAGATTGATCCCACTACACGTCTGTACCTGTATGAAGCAGTAACCTATCAGCATGTAGTATTTATATAGTTGATACAATTCAGATCATCTTCAAAACGCCGTCCCATGCCCAGGGGCGTATCTAAGCATTTTGGGGGCCGAGGCAAAATAGACCCCTGCCAGGTATTTTAAGTTGAAGTGCTATCTGCTTTTATATTAGACTTTTTATATTTGCAATAAAGTCCAAAAGTGAAAAATTAATGTTATTTATTACTTGATTGTTCACGCTACCTCACAGCAGTGATCTGTTGTTAAAATAAAAATAAAAAGGTAATTAAATAAAAAATAAGGAACATTCTTGAACTGCTTCTTCCTTTTCTTTTCTTTTCTTTTTGTTTATGTATCGAAAGTATTGGATCGGGACTCGGTATCGGCAGATTCTCAAAACCAAATGACGGACTCGGGGGCAAAAAAACCTGATCGGGACATCCCTAACTCACTCAATGGAAAATAATACAAATTTAATCTAAAAACATTGAATGCATCAGTATTAGAGACCAGCTCCGGGGATGAAGTAGCACATGTTTACCCTTCAGCAGAGAAAACCTCAGTTTTAATATTTTAAGTGATATAAATCCTAATTCTAATATTCCCAAGGTAGCAGTCGATTTTAAAAATATTTTCATGTTTAAGTTTAAAAGTTAAATTCTAATTGATGAAGACTATGAGCTGGTCTGACTGATGGGAGTGAAAATGTTTTTATACAAAGGTGGGGAAACAGAATCTTAAATTTACTGCTCCATGCTCTGAACTTGAGACAGTTCTCCACACCTTCATCTCCTCACGCTTAGACTACTGTAACTCTCTTTTCACGTGTCTGAGCAGAACCTCCCTGAACCGTCTACAGGTGGTTCAGAACGCCTGTGCTCGGCTTCTGACCAAGTCCTCCAAACACACCCACATCACCCCGCTTCTCCTCCAGCTTCACTGGCTTCTGGTTAACCACAGAGTGCATTTCAAGATCCTGGTTCTGGTTTTCAGCACCAAGGACAGATCCCAAGAAGGCACCAAAGGCCAAGACACGGGGAGAGCCTTCGTGCTCCTCTCATGCAGCTACATACAATGCATGTTGGCTTGCCAGTTTCTTCCCCAAACCTGAGTGAAGGGTTGAATTGACTGCCAGCTATACTTCAATTAGTAGAGAAGGCCTTCTTATCATCCACTAACTCTTGCAGGATTTACATCATAACATTCATCAGGCACTGGAAAGGTGAGATATTCCTAATCTGATTGTGGAGATGCAGTGGGAGGAGCATGTCTGTGGGAAGAAAAGAGCAGGCGGGGCAATGGAAGCTGCTGGCCTCACACCTGGAGTGCATCACTGATCATCTATAATAGCTATATTCTATTTTAGCCGAGTTTGAGAACATAACTAATTCCATCTGTAGCTGGAGCGGGGTTCTAGAGAGACCAATTTGCAGCCTGATGGGCATTCACAAGCACCAACTGTTGTTTAAAACTATTAATAAAACAGACTAGTGACATTATGTCTGTTGTGAACATCAGTGTATGTAAATAAAAATATTTGAAAGACATAAAATAATATTTTACAGCGACAATGTGAATCCCAAAGAGCTGTAAGCTGAAGGCAGAAGCATTTCCCACGTTTCATGTCTGCTGTTCCAGTTCAGTCTCGTGCTGGCTATGTTGGTAAACAATTGTGTGGTGGTTTAGAAGTTTACACAGTGATGTTTACTGAATGCATTATCATTGTTGATGTCTGGTCATTATGAGACAAACCTCTTTAATGTTTTATTGTAACTGATGTATTGAAGGATGTAAATGTGCAAAGCTGTTATCATAACAAAACATACTACTCTAAGGTATTTTAAATGAGTGTTGTTTTAAATATTTCATTATGTTGAATTCTGAACATCATAGAAAATAATTCAAAATCTTATTGAAATCCTTGAATTAGAAAGTGTCCAAACTTTTGACTGCTAGTGTTTTTACACATTTTCCTGTTAATCTAAGCTAGATTTCATTACATATACATATTAAGGCCGATGATTTCTCGGTTTTGAGATTAAAGTAGAGATGTTGAGAAAAAAAAGGGTTAGGGTTACATTATTGTTTTCATAATATTCCACTCAAATAAATACATTCTGCTCCAGAGTTCCCAGTGTTTGAGCTTTTATAGAGACCGAAGACCAAAGGCGACAGATGATTTGCTGCTGTGGCCCTTCTCTCCCACTGAGCCTGAGATCAGTGGACTCAGTGGTCTCCTTTACAAAGCAGCTGAAGACTCACTTGTTCAAGCTGGTGTTAGCATAACCTATGTTACCACCCTCTCTTTTTCCCACTCTTTCTACTTATTCCGACTTTCCTCGTGATCCACTGATTTCCCTCTATCCTATTCCTTTTCTCTCTTCCTTTCCTTACATTATTATTTTTTATCACAGTTTTAATTTTTGTTCTCTCTCATTTTAAATATATCTTTAATCATTTTTTTTAATCTTGTTGATGCTTAAATTTTTTTTTTGAGTTAAGTGCTTTGTGATTTTTATCTTTAGAGGTGCTATATAAAAGATTGTTTTCTTTCTTTCTTTCTTTTTAGAGTTGAGTTGTTGGTGTGTTTTTACTGAGTAAAATATCACAGGAACACTGAAGAGTTTTTCACACTCTTGTTTTCAAAATGGTTTCAGTGGTTTTTCAGTCATGAACCCACAGGAACTCTACCTGCTATACGGCAATAACTGTTTACTCTGCCAGTAGCTAATGCCAGTAGTTTTCTTTTCTTTTTTAGTTTGCCCACTATGAAAATAAGCAGAAAAAGAAATAAAAGAAAAATTTGGCTTTTTTTGTTGGCACCATGGTATAGCCTGAAATTAAAAGTCTGAGAGACATCTATTTGGAGGCTAAGCATTGAGCTAAAGTCCAAGGGAACATCGGTGCAACCTGCACTGATTTGAGAGAGCTAGGACTGATTATGGACTGATGTTAACCTAGCCTTTACTGGACTCTTAAGTAATATTATGTTTTTGCCTAACAGTGTGGACCTTTTTACTTCATGGCTTATTTAATATCAGTTGGCTCTTGTTAGTTTTAGCTTGTCTAGCTACAGCTGGCTGCAGCTACATTTTTACAAGTTGTGTTCAGCAACGGAAAGAAGATACAAATGGTGCTTACACAATAGTGTCAGCACAGTTGGGGTTTGGTGGGGCTGGATGGGGGCAGTTCAGCCTCGAATGGGCGGTGTAGTGTTCACATAAAAATCCAAAGGACTTCTCAGGACAGCAGAAATCTCCGAGCCTGTAGGCGGTGTTTAATACAAATGTGAAACTTCACAGTGTCCTCCATAATAAGATAAACAAAGGTGGGCCTAAGCTGTGTTGCTTTTGGAGACTCTGAACAACTTCATTTTATTAATTTGCTGTTTGTCGTCATAATCTTGTGCTCTGCTGCTGCAGGCCACACAAACACACCTGAGCAGCTGTCTGACGGTTTGCCAGGGTTAGGGCTCCGATGCAGAGGACAGGCACACACACACACACTGCTCACTTTCTTCTCCCATGCCCACTGATTGGCAACTTTGTGCTACAGACAGATACGTTTACTTAACAGTATCCAGCATGAATGATTTGCGCATGCAAGAACCCCCCCCACTGGCTGATTCTACTCACCAATCGGAGGCGTTAGGCATAATTTCACCCAGCCTATCAGTCCCTAGTCTCACCTCAGTCCCAGTCTGACTGCTGGGGAGGAGGTATGAAAAAAGAGTCACCTCGGAACAGAAAACGCATATTTGACCATGTGTGAAACCAAATTCCAGTCCAGTATGGTACTGCAAGGGACTGTACGGATGCTAATGTGTAAGCACCAAATGTGTGAGTTAAAACAAAGCATCCATCCATCCATTATTGCCCGCTTAACCGGGGTCAGGTTGCGGGGGCAGCAGCATAAGCAGGAGGCCCAGACTTCCCTCTCCCCAACCAATTGGGCCAGCTCCTTTGAGGCAATCCCAAGGCGTTCCCTGGCCAGCCGAGAGACATAGTCCCTCCAGCGTGTCATGGGTCTTCCTTTCAGTCTCCTCCCAGTTGGACGTGACCGGAAAACCTCATCGTGGAGGCATCCTGACCAGATGCTGGAACCAGCTCAACTGGCTTCTCTTGATGTGGAAGCGAGGCAGATCTCCTCCAAGCCCCTCCTGAATGACTAAGCTTCTCATCCTTTCTCACACACAATTGTTTCATTAGAAGACTGCCTGAGCGAGGTTAAGCAATGGATGTCCCTCAACTTCTTGAAGCTAAATTACTCAAAGATGGAGATTTTACTGTTTGGTGATCAGAATTTTCTGGATGATGTGGTGAGTCCTCTTGGCCCTTCCATGTCATGTTATTCATCTGTTTGTTTCCTGTCGTTTAGACTACTGTTACTCAATTTACTTGGGCCTGGAACGGTCATCTATATCTCTTATATTACCATTTAATTTTCTAATGTTTCTGGTGGTTTGAGCACAAAAAATGCACTTAGGACATATAAGGGTTAAATAGACTCTAGCTGGTTCAAAATACAGCGGTGCTCTCTGACTGGCACCAGAAAGTGTGCCCAATCCCCAGTATTGGCATCTATTATTGGATCACTGTGTGCTGCAGGCTTCCTTTTATAGTCCTCATTTTTTATTTTAAATCTACTCATAATAGGCTCCACCATACATCACAAAATTACTGTACATCTACACTCCCGTTGAAAACATCAAGTCTAGCTCACAGTCTCTTAATTGTTCCAAAAACACCTTTGTTATGTTCTTGCTGTGTTTAGTTTCTAACTGCATTTTTGGTTCTTTTGTAAAACACTGAAAAGGTTTCTTTTTGACCTTGCTGACAGTTTTGTTTACCGGCTGTAAAATTCCTCAGAGCTGACGCTGATGGTGGCGTCACTTACTTCTCCATTTATAGACGGAGAAGGAAGTGACGGAAGTTGACATCCCCTTTACAGAGGGCAACAACGTCCTCTGCTACCCGTGGATAAACGGAGAAGGAAGTGACGCCACCATCAGCGTCAGCTCTCCCTAGCAGCAGTAATTGGTAACTATTTGGTGTTTTAAACACCCAATCCAACCCCTGAAAGCTGAGTGTCAAGCATGAAAGCATTGGGTCCCATTTTTAAAGTCTTTAGTATGACCCGACTAGGATTTGAACCTTGATCACCCAGTCCCGGAACAGATAATCTACTATACCTGTGTGTGTGTGTGTGTGTTGCTAATAAGGTGTTATGGGTAAAAGTGTTTATTCATTTTTTGTCAATATTGTGTTTATTTCTACTTTATTTTTTAACACCAGTTTGATAGTTTTCCCCTCATCATTTTGACTTTAATCTCAGAACTGGGGAAGAAAATTGTTAGTGGCTCCTAATATGCTGTTGTACATTTAAAAGACATACACACACAAAGATAGATGTACAAGTTTTGATTTTTAAATCATACTAAGAAAAGCTAAACGCTAAACTAATTGGCACACTCACAACCACTTGACAGATAAAAAGGCCTGCTGTTTATGATGGTGTCAGCATGCCAGCGTACAAACTATGACATGAGATGAAGCATAGTCATCGTTCAGAGCACCATTTCTCTGGACTGCAGGAACATTTGGTGCTGAAAACATATAACCTGTCTAGTTAAGATGGGGATTTTTTCACAGAAGTTAAAAGTAGAAAATTGTGTTGCGATTAATAGAGTTGATCAATCTAGGCACTTACGGATCACAGCAAGGCGCACACACACAAATAATAACTGTGTGTGGCTGGCCTCTCTGCATACATGGAGTCCTTATTGTCAGCTTTGTGACTCTTTTGGGACAAACACACATACACACACACACACACCTTCTTTCAGTCATATAACACATAGGGATAGGCATTTACAGAAATAAAGTTAACACATTTTGTTTCAAGGAAAAGTGTGAATCTGAATGAAGTCGTGTCAGCTGAGCACCAGGGAAGAAAAATGACAGAAATAAAGGACAAAGAACAAATCGAGAGAGGAAGAAGGGAGGTAAAAACGGCAAAGGAGAAAACATAGGTAAGAAAATTTAAGGTAAAATAATTAGCTGGACTAACATGGCGTTACTGGTAGCTGTGGTGGAAACGTCAGCCGAAGAGATAACTCCGCACTTGGCACATTTGAGCGTCATATTGTACAGTGGCACTGTCATCTGACTGCAAAGTCAAATTAACACGCTGTAACATAAACAAACAGATACAAATGCACCTGCACATGGACTCACACAAATAAATGTGTGTACATGAGTACACACACACACACACACACACACACACACACACACACACACACACACACACACACACACACACACACACAGTGAGTCAGTGTTTTTGCACTCTCTCTCTCTCTCAGGGCTGTGATCCTGTACAGGGTTTGGTGTGTGTCTGGGCTCGCGTGTGAGGGGACATGCCAACAGAGCCAAGTTAGTACCTTTCCAGAACATTCTGTAATAAATATGTTCTGCTTGTAACAGTCTTTATTTCATGTCTTTATTATGTCTATGGGATGGGAGTAGCATCTGGATGACTTATTAAAATATCACATGCTGGATGCACCTCGTTCTGGGCAGGTGCTTACTTCTGATTGGACAGAAAGACAAACTCAAAGTCAATGGTTCACACTTAGATCACAAACCCTCATAACTAAAATGGTGTACATCATCCACATTCTAGACAAAGGTCTATATAACAACCCCCTCACATGCTTATTCAGAACAAGTCCTGTTGGAATCATCAACTTGTGACTTTGTCACACATTTGAACATGTGCGTTTAATCAAGTCAAAACTAAGTTGGAGGAATTGATTGTCACCAAAAGCACCAAGGAGGAAGAGAATGTTAGGCTGACTAAAAAGGTCAGCCATGCTACCGGTTGGTCATCCTTTCCTGTCAAATATTTATTGCACACCAAAAAAGGAGATGTGGGGATGAGAATAAAGGGCTTGTACTTTATCTTTCTAAACAAAGATTGTGACATCTCATTTGATCAATATCTCAGATTACTGTGTCACTTTGGTTCAATAAACTCTTTCAAACAAAATGTAACACACTTATACCCCTGCTGTATTTGACTAACTGGAAAAAAATTTCTCAGAATAGCCCAGATTTGTGTTTGACTCACTGAGTGCAAGTCTGTAATCAATAATCAGCTGAATAAAAGCTAGAGTGGGCCTTGCCTGTTATTCCCCTTGACTCCACAAATGTCCTTACAAGTACACACAATAGGTATTTATAGGGCATTATTAAGACATTCTGTCATCTCATGCATAATTTGCAGTTCAGTAAACATTAAAGTTGTGAGGTTCACACTGATGTACTGGAGATACAGGCAAGTAATAAGAAACTAATATGTTGCTACATGGCCTTTAGCTGAGCAACAATTAGAGCCTATGAGTTGAGGGAATCGATTTCTGTATAGCCTCTGGACGACCAGATAAAAAAATCCTATAATGGTAGAAATTCAATTTCAAATGAAAGGGCAAGACAGCTGTTAAATGTACGCTACAGGCAGCAATATAAAAAAGCTATCAACACTTTTGAAAAAGAACATTTTCATGGACTTAAGAACTGGGAGGCAAAGGTTGCAGGTTGGGCACGTAGGCTGAGCTGCTTTAAGCTTCACTAAAGCACACGTTCCCTCTCCAAGAACATCATGTAGAAACAATGAGTGGTAAACAGATAAACAAATAAAAAGCTTTCATATAAGAGCTCAGTAATTTGATTAACCTGCAATTTACTGCCTGTAAACATGCATTTGCCAAGAAGAAGAGGTTGCATGTTTTTAAAACTAGACTGTGCCTGTTGGCTTTAATGGTTCTGGGGAATTAGCCTTTAATTTTTAGAGAAAATGAGGTTCAGTGACAAGGCCTGTCACCAAAGTGCAAGCTAACCTCGGTGACGCAGATGCTTCTGAGCCCTTAATAAGATTCTGCACAAACAAATTTCCTTCATTAAACGTGTTTCCCATTTCAGGCTTTAGAGCAGCTCAAAGACACGTAGATGGAGGCTGATGTGGATCACCAAAAGGCACTGCACATCTTCCCCTGCTTGTTTCTTGTTTCTCAGAAAGAAATGTCAACCAAAAGCTCACTGGGCTGTGAGATGGACACACAGAGTTTAAAAACAACTACCTGAATGGTACAACAAAAAACATCAACCAGTCAATCTTTTTTAGAAAGCACAAAGAATACAACTCAAAGTGCTTTACATGTTAAAATGACCCTTCATAACCGTTATTCCCATCCCTGCCACACCAACTTAAATGCATTATCATAGTCATACCCCCTCCTGTACACACACAAACACACACACACACACACACACACGCAGGGTTGTCACGGTGGGAAAATGTAACCTCACGGTTATTGTGACCAACATTATCATGGTTTTTGGTATTATCGCAGTATTTTTCTAAACGTGTTACATTTTCACACAACTAAATAAACCCTATATCAGGAAAATACTGTCCTCGGTTTGTGTCCTTCCAGTGAGCTTTGCAGATGTGGGAAAATGTCATCAGGCAGTAATCATTGTTAAATTCATAATTATTCTCAGAGAGAGACCAACTCTTATCTGCCACTGGGAGCCCCGTAATGCATAGCGTCATTTCAACATGGGGGTGTCCGCGACACGGTTTATATGCAGGTAGCGGCGCTGCGGCTGCTTTATACAGCGACTCGTTGCATTCTCCCTCAACCCAAATCCTCGGATCACGCATTTTAGCTAAAACGCTAACGTTAGCTTGCCTTGTGTTGACTGTAGAGTTGTGGGTGATGGTCACGCAGATGTGTCATGACATTTGACGCGCTGCTGCCTTTCACAAACACTTTTTCCTGCATGTGCTGCAAACAGGATAGCCGTCTTCTGTCAACTGTCCCTCGGCATTCTTCAAATATTCAAAACATGCCCGTACTTCTGACTTTGTCTTCTTTGAGGCATAATAAATGTCCTGAGCACTGCCGTCTACCCCTTCGGCCATTATTTCAGCTTTAGCTTCAAGAAAGTTTTGGTTGTAAACAACAAAGTGCGCATGTGCCGCCGGTAACTTCAGCAGATGATACGGTGGCTGGTAAGGGTCACCTCGCCTACACCGCAGCCACGGTAATCCACCGAGATAACAGATTTCTTAAAAAACAAGACTGTTATTATAATTGTTAACTTTTTACCGGGGTTTACCGCTACACCGGTTACCGTGACAACCCTATATATACAAAGTTAGGAACATCAGTAAAACTGATTTTGGGCTGAGTTCAGCTGAGCCAGATATGGTAGAGCAAGGAAACACCATCAGAGGAGCCATCTGCCCCGGCAGCAGCAGGCCAATTGCAACAGCCGAGGTACTGACACAGGACACAAAGGGGAGGGAGGGTATAGGCCCGATCTCAACCCAAACACTACCCGTAGAGAACCGAGGCAGTAAAAGTTGACTGCCACCCCCAAAGCAGAGGGCCCCCACGGTGGAAACATCGGGAGAAAGATTAATATAGGACAAAATATAAAAGTATCAGGAGCTAATATAATAGTAACATTAAGTAAATAAAGATTAAATAATACAATTATAATATTAAAATAATAAAGATTTAGAATACAATAGTTAAACTGTAAGCAATTAAAATATACAAAGCAAATAATCAATTTAAAAAGAATATCAATCGGTTAAATGCCAGTGTTAATTTTGTTGACAGATTATTTTCGTCATTTTTTGTGATGAATTAAGTTTTGCAGACTGAAAAGAAACAAAAACATACATGACAATAAAGACTAAATTATAATGAATTTTGACTGACATTTTCATTGATGAATAAGGGATGACAATGAAAACGGACAGAAACAAACATCCAATCAGAAAATGGAAAAGATGGGAGACCGGAGAAAATAGGTTCTCAGTAAGTACTGGACTCTTATAAATCGCTGGGATATTCTTTAATTGGGAGAGGAGTCTACTACAGTATTTTTTACAATGACCTTCATGTACAGTGGCTGTGATCAGCTGAAACCTCCTAGCAGATTTACAGCAGCAAGATGCTTTCCTTTTCCTCAAAAGACTTCCAAAAATACTTCTCCAGACACTAAAATTTGTTGACTAGAAGTCAACTGGGAAGTAAATGGATTGTTTGAAAATGACTCATCTACTCAGATTACTTGACAAGCAGACTGTGGCACACAGCCAGTAAGCAGCAACAACGATCCAACAAAGAGGTCAAAGGTCTCTTTGTCTCTTGATAAGTCTGTAAGATACATAAACTCCTCCACTCGGGACAGGACCTCATCCCTGACCCGGAGAAGGCATTCTTCCCTTTTCCGAATCAAGACCATGGTCTCAGATTTAGAGGAGCTGATTCTCATCCCAGCTGCTTCACACTCGGCTGCAAACTAGACTGTGCCTGTTGACGTCAGCCTGAGGAAGTTTGCAGCTGCAAACGAAACGTAGCGGGAAAACAGGTAAACAAAACTGCTCTGTGCTTTAAAAAAGAACTACAGCATGCTGGTGTTTATATTTGTAGATGGTCCCTGAGTGCTCATGGCAGTTTTGTGGGCCCATAGAGCATGCTGGGAACAGAAAAAAATGAAGTTTAGCTTGATCACTACCTTGCTGTGATACCAAAGAGGTATGTTATGTTTAAAAATGAGACTCCAAACAGACGTTATTTAGCCGTTAATGTCAAATCTGTCAGCGTCTTGCCAACTTCACGGAAGTTTGTAAAATTTCCAACCTGGTGCACCCTGCGCCCCCTTCCGCCATTTTTACCTGCTATCGTAGAGGACAACAGTCATGATTCTGATGATTCAATTAGTTCAACATGTCGAAACACCCTAAATGATCATGAGCCCAAGGGAGAAAAAAAGAAAACAAGAGGAGAAAAAACACAACAGGGACAGAGGTATAGAAATGTTACAAAAATGATGATGTTATCATAACATTATTTAGCATCCTGGAGATGCTTTAGGACAAATCAAGCTTGTTTCTGACTATTGTAACGTCTGCGCATGTAACATATCAAAGGTCAAATTTTCACCGACAAATTGACCAGAAAGTAACCTTTCATTTGCAGACACGAGAACAACACCTGTCTGACTTCCAAAGCCAGAACTCTGCTCCAGCTCTTGTTATTAGACAAGAAGCCATAAACATCTTTGCTCAAGGACTTATGTGAAACTGCTGCATTTTCACTCATAAGACATCTTGAATTATTAATAACTTTACCACTTATGAGGTGAAATAATCATATGTGTTGAATGAACAAGATGTTTAAATCAAATGTTTTGTAACATCCAAAAGGGTCAGTTTTCTTCTATGTATTGATCAACAGCTACATCTACAGCATGAATTCACTTTCGGTTTGGCCTACTAAATCAAGAAGGTTCTGCTCAGTGCATGATGGCATTCCATAAAGACAAAACATTCAAACAAACCTTCTCACCCAAGGTTCTTGCACTCACTGTGTGAACGCCAGACGTCAACATTTTTCACTCTGAATTGGTGAATAACCATTTATGATGAATTAACAAGATGTTTGAATGAAATGTGTGAATAATCTGTGCTTAAATCAATGAATTTGAAATGAATATTGTTCTTACAATGATCCATTTATATCACAGACCAGTGTGTGTTTGATTTAACAAGTTAGTCATTGTCTACACTCATAGACATTACAATAAGATACTCATTAAGGTTAAAAATATCTTTGTATCTGAAAGAAGGCATGACCCTCTGAAAGATGTTGGTAAATAATCAGAAATGTGTCAAATTCTGATTTGCCAAACTTGGCCAGAAATCATAACAAAGTAGTTAAATAAAACAAGAATTACTTCCCGAGTAACTCAGTTTCCAGCTGAGCCCCGATTCGGCCAAATCGGGAAAGAAGCCTCTTTTGAAACAATGTCCTTTGACCTTAAGTCAAAACCTTTCTGCGACCTTGCAACTGATTACAGACACAACAGCTCTTTTAAGAGCTATTTCAACTCATACATCCACCTTGGACATCTAACCTGCAGACCCCAGGCTGCATCTCATGGCCGGGGAAGCTGAACTCAGAAGTAGCTACTAATCTCTAAGTATTGTGGTTTCGACGTCCGGTGACCTTACCACTCCGACCGCAACCCTTCGGACCGCAGAGAGCAACTCATACAAGGGTATCGTAAGCCTGCATACTGGTGTCTGATGAGGTTTGTATCAATAACTAACTCACTAGTTTATAACAAACAACACATTCCTTTACAGCCAGATTTCACAATTTATCTCAGATACAAAGAACGGTTGCTACAACATCAAGCTCCCATCACAACACCTCACATCCACCACACCACATCTCATTATTCATATCTGGTCATGTATAAATTATTAGTTTAGGAAAAATAATTAAATTAATTTTATTAACTGTATACTGACTCTGTCTGAATTAATATGAAGTGTGTTTATGGTCCCTGAATAAGTAAAAGTTACTAGAATCTTCTTATTAAACATTCAAAGATCAATCAGATTGATATTTCATATCTGTATGGAATATCACACCTTATTGGTCATAAATAATATGTTTTAATTGCTACAGTTTGAATAATCTGTGCCTTAATCAATATCTACACCCATACACATTATAATAAGATACTTATTAATGTTAATATTCATTTCACATGTGTTTTAAAACATTTGTAAAATGTCCTCACAAAGGGTTAGCCATCTTTGTATCTGAAGGAAGGCGGAACATCTGAGAAAGGTTTTTGTTAAGCTCTCAAATGTGTCAAAATCTGATTTGCCTAATTTAAAAGCAATTTTAATAACGCAGAATTTAGTTCCTTATTAATTCAGTTTGCAGCTGACTCCCAATTTGGCTAAATCAGGGAAGAAGCAATTTTGAAACCATCCTATCTTTTGACCTCAGGGCAAAGCCTCTCTGCAACGCTGCGGGTAATATCAGACAAAATGGCTCTTCTACAAGCCAAACAAACCGCCTTAGATGCAAACAAGCATTCCAGCTTCTTGTCATGACCTGGAGATATCTCAAGACTACACGGGTCATATCGGAGCTAATCTACGAGTTCCTGGTCCCTCGAGGTCCATGTCCATCCCGACCTCGTGACCCCCTGGATCTGAACGGGGATCTCTACACAAAGGGTATTGTAAACTCAACAGATTGTGTCGGATGGTTTTACAACCCAGACTTCACAAATTCTCTCAGATACTTAAAGGTTTTGCTAAAACATCTAGCTTTCATTCCAGCATTCCACACATCACATTAAGTCACTTCATATCCATTGCTACATTACATTCATATCTTGTCATGTATAATCATTAGTTTAGGGAAAAGAAATACATTCATTTTTATAAACTATGTACTTGAGTCTGTCTGAATGAATATGAAGTGTGTTTATGGTCCCTGAATAAGGAAAGTAACTATAATCCTCTGATTAAGCATTGAAAGATCAATCAGATTGATTTTTCATATTTATATGGAATTATCACATCTTACTGGTTATTTTAGTATACACTAGACCTAAAGGACTATCAGGAACACCTGTTCAACTTCTCCTTAATGCAATTATCTAATCAACCAATCACAGGGCAGTTGCTTCAATGCATTTAGGGGCGTGGTCCTGGTCAAGACCATCTCCTGAACTCCAAACTGAAGGTCAGAATGGGAAAGAAAGTTGATTTCAGCTATTTTGAGTGTGGCATGGTTGTTGGTGCCAGATGGGCCGGTCTGAGTATTGCACAATCTGCTCAGTTACTGGGATTTTCACCCACAACCATTTCTAGGGTTTACAAAGAATGGTGTGAAAAGGGAAAAGCATCCAGTATGCAGCAGTCCTGTGGGCCAAAGTGCCTTGTTGATGCTAGAGGTCAGAGGAGAATGGGCCGACTGATTCAAGCTGATAGAAGAGCCTAACCCTCGTTACAACCGAGGAATGCAGCAAAGCATTTGTGAAGCCACAACACGCACAACCTTGAGGCGGATGGGCTACAACAGCAGAAGACCCCATCGGGTACCACTCAACTCCACTACAAAAAGGAAAAAGAGGCTACAATTTGCACCAGCTCACCAAAACTGGACAGTTGAAGACCTAAAAAATGTTGCCTGGTTTGATGAGTCTCCATTTCTGTTGACACATCCAGATGGTAGAGTTAGAATTTGACGTAAACAGAATGAGAACATGGATCCATCATGCCTTGCTACCGTGGTGCAGGTTGGTGGTGGTGGTGTAATGGTGTGGCAGATATTTTCTTGGCACACTTTAGGCCCCTTAGTGCCAATTGGGCATAGTTTAAATGCCACGGGCTACCTCAGCATTGATATATATATATATATATATATATATATATATATATATATATTGGAGTTGTTACTTCATTCAGAGTAGGGATTGGGGCGCCAAGGAGTAGTCTCACCTACGGCAACAAATTGGGTTGGGCCTGCCCTGCTGCACTGCTCACCCTTTAACTTTACCTAAGTTTCTTTTTAATTATTAAATTGTATTTTCTGCCATGCTGGTGGTGGTCGGAGAGACCGGTGGTATCCATGCTCGGCAGCCTCATCTCTGTCAGTGCGCCCCAGGGCAGCTGTGGCTACATCGTAGCTCATCACCATCAGTGTGTGAATGTCTATGTGAATGGATAAATGATACACTGTAGTGTAAAGCGCTTTTGAGTCCTTACTCTGAGAGGCGCTATACAAGTGCGGGTCATTTATCATGTATGTTGATTTTAATGTTATTGCTATTCTTACTAATAGAAAGCACATTAAACTGCCTCTGTGTATGAAATGTGCTACATAAATAAAGCTGCCTTGCTTGCTTGAGCATGTCCTGATTTAACCAGGCTATGGATATGTACTAGGAAATTGCCCTGTAGGGTCGTGTGTGTGTGTGTAAATGGTAAATGGTCTGTATTTGATATAGCGCCTTCTAGAGTCCTGGAACCCCCCAAGGCGCTTTACAACACAATCAGTCATTCACCCATTCACACACACATTCACACACTGGTGGTGATGAGCTACAATGTAGCCACAGCTGCCCTGGGGCGCACTGACAGAGGCAAGGCTGCCGAGCACTGGCGCCACCGGTCCCTCCAACCACCACCAGCAGGCAACGTGGGTTAAGTGTCTTGCCCAAGGACACAGCGACAGACTGAGCGGGGCTCGAACCTGCGACCTTCCGATTACGGGGCGAGCTCTTAACTCCTGTGCCACCATCGCCCCATGTGTGTGTGTGTGTGTGTGTTTGTGTGTGCGTGCGTGCGTGTGTGTGTGTGTACCGGTCTATAAATCAAAGTGAGGACCAAAACAAGTTTTTACCTGCAAACTGAGGACACTGGAAGCAATGTGAGGGAATTTTGCTGGTCCTCACTTTGGGACAATGCCACAGAGCTCTGCTGGTTATTTTTAGAGGTATGGCATGAATTAAGTTTTAGTTAAGGGTTAGGGTTAGACACAATTCAGTCACTAAAGTGAATGGAAGTCACTGACAATCCTTGCAACGAATGCTAGACTCTAGTGTGTGTGTGTGTGTGTGTGTGTGTGTGTGTGTGTGTGTGTGTGTGTGTGTGTGTCATGGTGGATGGCTGCATACTGAGCCAGGATTCTCTGGAGGTTTCTTCCTGTTAAAAGGGAGTTTTCCTCTCTACTGTCGCTGCATGCTTGCTTAGTATGAGGATTGCTGTAAAGACTGACACTAGTCAGTGACTTGATGCAACTTGCTGGGTTCCTTGCATAGGAAACTCTTTACTGATTGGCTTAATGACCTGGGGCCTAATTTATCAAGCTTGCTTACACACAAAACGGGGTCGTAAAACTGTATGAATAACTTTCCACTCAAACTTTGGGATTTGTAAAAGAAAACATGGTGAAAAATTTTGCTTGTAAGCAAGATATTGTGTTCCGGGGTTTTTGTTGCTGTGGGAAGTTGTTTTATGATTCTCGTTGACTCTGGTGTGGACTTGAATGTTCTGCACCAACGTTAGAGCATATGGACCAGCGTTTGCCCTGTTTTGTTGACTTTCTCCATTTAAAAAAGAATAATTTACTTGGAGTGTTTACTGCATCCAATTGGACTATAACTCATCAGTTGCCCACGCTAACAATATATTCTAAACTCCCAACAACTAAAAAACACAGCAGAAATCTAATAGTTTCCGATGGCTATTTCTGCCGGTACAGTCCAGTCATGCAGAGAAGTCTGTGGTCTTTGTATGTATGTATGTATATATATATATATATATATATATATATATATATATATATATATATATATATATACAGTATGTATGTAAATAGAAATTCACAGGTGGATTCTTTGTATCTGCTGAAAATAGACCATGCTTTATGTTGTGGCCTAGCCCCTCGTAGACGAGTCGTAATATGAGCAACGGCAGCAATATCATCAATAAAGGCTAGCTAATCAATGTGCTGTCATTCACAACACCTATTGCTGCCTTTGATAAAGCAAGATATTTAGTATGGTGTTTGCTTTGGTAGGAAAGACAAGTAAAGTAGAAAGACTGACTTGGAGAGTCATGTCAAAGCCTGGAGAGCACCAGGTAATTGGTCTGTAGATCATACAACTGAAAGAGGGTGGAGTTTATTTTCACAATAACTATGAAGGAATTAAGAGCTCATTAGGCGAATAGTTTATAGGCACACCTGGCAGTTTTGCACGCTTTTAGCACCCCCTAGTGACCGTTACTATCTGTGAAACCTATTCACTTGCTGTGCGTTCGTTTATTTAACACCTTAATCTAACTGCTGAAATGTCTCCTTAGCCTTCATTCGTTTTACAGGAGCAATTTATAACTAAATGAAACACATCAGCTGTGTTTGTGATCTAAAACAAGCATAAAATGTGATGTTAATAGACCACAGCAACAGGTATGTCAGCTAAAGTTGTTTTTAAGTGTAGCAGGCGCCAGACCGTCACTCTTGTAAATGCAGTATTCTGACCACAGATGCCAGAAGGGGTCTGAGAGACATTTCTTTAACCCATTAAAGGCTAATTTTAGCACACACTCTCTCTAAATAAATGTATTTAAAAATATGAAAAGGCTACATATTATCCCTTTAACCGTGTTCCTTTACATTATTGCACTTATTTACTAAATATAATTTAGTTACATTTAGAACCTTACTGGGGTCAAGGTAATTTATTTACACAAAAACACTTGCACATTCATGGCAGTCATTCAAACTGGCACACGGGACTCTCAACCACATTACCAACAAAGTATTAGTAATATTACTATACAACTAATGTGTTTCTAAAAGACTGATTGTTATATGATGTTAAACTACATGGACCTGAGGCAGTCTCATGTTAGATTTCATTTAGCTAATAGGAGGAGCAGGAACCAATAGATCAGTAAAAAAGTAGTCAGGAAGTAAACCAATCAGGGTAAAGGAGTCAGCTTGTTTGAGGTGTGCAGGGCTAAAAGCCATCAACTCAAAAGGGTATCAGAGGGGCAGATATTTTTACCCAATCATTGATGAGATTAGAGGGGGCTTCAGACACTGATGTGTTCCTGACTGGAGAGCCCTGAGTGAGAGAGAGGGGATTCTGTGCAAACTCAAACATGACATTTCAGACAACAGAACAAGTACAGTCCAAAAGAGATCATCACATAAAGCAGATAGAGGAAGAAAAAATGAGAGAGATAGAGAGGAGGGAGCATGCAAGGGAGGGAGAGGGGGAGGGAAAGATGGAAAGAGAGAAAGAAAAGGAGAGAGCAATTGTATGCAACAAATCCAATGAAGACAGAACAGCCTTGCAGAGTAAAGGGGAGCAGAAAGCTCTATTGAAAAGCATTTTAGTAACCAAACTTAAGTTTGGTGACCTTTGACACCAATTGTTAGTGTAACACAGTGTATTTCTATTTGTGCAGATAATTCTGTCCTCAGAGGTTTTACTTGGGCGGTCATTAAACACAGAAACTCTGTGATCCTGGGGTTAGGGAGGAACCAGCTGTGTTCAACTACCCAGAAAACGCTAATGCTGATTGAACTCCGAGACATAAAACATAGAAGCCTTATGGGAGGCCTCTGTTTGCAGAAAAGGCCACAGTTGGCTCCTCACGCAAAAAAAGAATATACATTTTTTTTACTTTATTCCTACTAGGTTTCAAATGTATGTTTATGTTTATGTATTTAGCAGACACATTTGTCCAAAGCGACTTACAAGTGATAATCGGCATGTTGCCATTGAGGCTAACAACAACAACAACAACAACAACAACCAATTTCCAGTCAGTCGTAGGTGGAAGTGAGGCAGCATGATGAATGAGGTACGATTCAAACCAGGCGTGTGCTTTCTCTGTGATGCCCATGCTAGAGAGAGTGGACAAAAGGAAGCCATGGCTGACAGTGTCAAATGCAGCTGATAAGTCGAGCAGGAGAAGCACTGAGGATTTGGCAGTCGCTCTAGCTTCCTTTAAGGATTCCCTCACTGCTAACAGAGCAGTTTCAGTGGAGTGGCCCTTTGTGAACCCAGATTGGTAAGGGTCAAGCAGACAGTTTTGTGAGAGGTATTCTGTGATCTGCTTGAAATCCACCCTTTCAATGATTTTGGACAGAAAAGGGAGGAGAGAGATAGGTCGGTAGTTCTCCACATGATTTGGAGGAAGAGATGTTTTTTTAGCAGCGGTTTAACCTGAACATGCTTGAGAGAGGTGGGAAATGTACCGGATGTCAGTGAAGTGTTGATCACATGTGTGACTGCTGCGGCTACTGTAGGAGCAATAGCTTGGAGCAGCTTAGTCGGAATGGGGTCAAGTGGACATGTAGTAGGGCGGCTGCACGTGAGAAGCTTGGACACACAGTTCTCAGTGAGAGGGGAACAAGAGGAAAATGAAGCAGTAGGGCCTGAGATGGTTGGGCTAGAAGGAGTTTGTGGTAGCGAATGTTCAGGAGTGGCCAGTTGAGTAAACTGTTTGTTTATAGCTGCCACTTTGTCAGTGAAGAATGAGGTAAAGGTGTCAGCTGATAGATTGTTGGTAGGAGGTGGAGATGGAGGGGTGAGCAGAGTTTTGAGTGTTGAAAATAGTTTCTGAGAGTCAGTAGAGCTGAGAATTTTGTCAGTGTAGAAAGCTTTCTTTGCATCAGTGATGCTGGCAGAGAATGAGGACAGTAATTCATAAAATTTCAGTTGATCACCAGGATCTCTTGTTTTGCGCCATTTCCGTTCTGCAGCTCTAAGATTGGTGCGTAGAGACCGGAGGGTATCATTTAGCCAAGGGTGCGACTGAGAGGATCTAGCAGGTCTAGTGGCTAAAGGGCACAAGTTGTTAAGACAAGAGCAGAGTGTGGAGCAGA